CCCCTTTTTTGGTTTGTGACACAATTTAAAATCTAAATTAATTTAATTAATTTTTAATTAAACATGTCAACTAATCAAGAAGCTTAATATTTTTATGATTTATTTGAACTTGGTCTAGAGGAATATGAAAATTATGAAAATATGCAAGAAATTGTACATAATTTAATAAAGTTTTTGAAAGTCCAGCAAATTGCAAATGTTGCATTTCTAATGAACAAAAAGATATTAGAACTTGCTTCAAAAAAATTGGATTTTAAAAGTTTTTAAAAGACATTTCAAATTATTAATCTAAGCAGTAAAGAATTAGATTTGTTTTTAAAAGCACAACTTTTAGCAATAGAAGTGGAAAATAAAATTATAAAGAATCTTCTGAAAAGATCCCTCAGAGAATGAATTATAGATATTGTTTTAATTCAATCTATGCTCTTTGTAAACAGTATTTTTAAAGCTATACAATATAAGTGATTCTAAATTCAATGATGTTGTAAATCATTTAGGTGATGAAGGAATAAGTGAACAAATTCATGGAAACACAGGAAGAGCTCCTGTACATAAAACTAAAGTCAACATTGATGAAAATTTAAAATCAATTGTAAAAAATTTTCTAATATTCTCTAATACATGGGTTACCTTCACCAATGAGACATAGGAATGATTCTGGTATATTTATTTATCTCCCCACTGATAAAAAATTTTATTTAGAAAATATTTTGAAATTTGAATTTAGAAGAAGAGAAAATTATGTCTTACAATTCTTTTGGAAGATTATGGAATGAACTAATGCCTAATTTAAAGTTTCAACCTCTTGCAAGTGATTTGTGTGATAATTGTGTTCAATTTAAATCAAAATTGCACTTAGCAAAGAGAAATATTGATGAGTATGATGAAATCAAAGCTCAGTTCAATGAACATAAATAAAAGCAAATCTTGAACATGATCATTATAATAAAAATATTGAATTAAGCTAGGGTTGGCAAATGTGCAGTCCATTGAGTCCATTAGCATAACACTTTAACCATTTTTAGTATTTTATTAATGCCAATAAACTAGTCAATTTACCAACCCTGAATGATTTATCAATTGCACATATTGTTATTATTGGCACAAAATGTTACTATTCCTTATTCACCCCAGCAAACAGTGCATTATATTTTTTATCAGGCTATGCAGTTCATTTATTTGGAATTTGTAAAACTGAGGGAGCGAAAAAATCAACAACTAAATTTTTTAATAGAAGGTGAACTTCCTCAAGGTAAATCTAAGGGAGCAAATACTACTTTAAATTTAATTTATCAAGCTCTGCAAATTTTTGCAAAGGATGGAAAAAAAAAATTACATATAACTTGTGATAATTGCTCTGGACAGAATAAAAATAATTTATCTTTATGGTTTTGGACTTGGTTAATAATGTTGGGTTGGTATGAAGAGATCACAGTTAACTTTATGATTCCAGGCATACAAAATTTATATGTGATTCTTTTTGGTCATATAAAAAATTTATATAGAAATAGTGAAGTTAATCAAATTAATGATATTGAAGAAATTATTAAAATTCTTCAGAAGGAAATGAACCTATACAATATAAGAATGGCTCAGGATGAAAATGGTATAATTTTGGAGAAATATTTGAAATCAACTTTAAAATTTTGCCAAATTAAAGCTCCTCACTAGCTGGCTTGTGAGCCAAAAAACTTATTCAACTTGCGAGCCTATTAAGTTATTTAGCTTGCAAGCTGGCTCATGTGAAGCCTTATGCCAAATATAAAAACAATATCATCATTTAGACTTAGTGCTATTCCAATTAACATAAATCTTGAAAGAAAATTGTATTTGTATTAAAAAATTAGCAAATTTTGTAGATGTTTGCTATAGAGATGTTCATTTTTCAAATCCTAATTCAAATGCAATGCAGGTTAATTAAATCTTTGGATAATTATATAAAGTAAATATAAGCTGTTTTTAATTATAAATTTAAGGTTAAAACAAATAAAACAGTTTTATCTTTGGTGATCATTTCCTTTTTTATATCAAAGAAGGATTTTGGGGACAGTATTCAATAAATTAATTACTATTACACACTTTTTTACTAATTGAAATATTATGCCAAATTATAATCCTTATTTTAAATAATATAGTGGTATCAACAACTCATTTTGGGGTTCTTGAGCCCGAACTATCTTTTTGTTAGGATGGAACAACAATACATGCCTGGATTTCATCCTCGGTTTTTTATGGGGATGCTATTCATGTCGACTAATCCAGTATAAATTTACGTGGCATACCATTCCAGCAGGGTTTCATAGGACCAGATGAAAAAATTTAAATAGTAATATAATAGTAATGGCAATAATATTAATAGCAATAATAGTTTTTGCTAATATACAGTTCGCTCTCTCTATAACGGACCATTTGGCTTATGAAAAAATTATAGAGAATCCGTTATAGACATTAATGATTTATATATTAATATGGGACATATAAATTCTCAGTTCGTTATATATAGAAAGATCGTTATTTTTCAAATTTTTAATAACACTTTCTTTTCATTCAAAATTAAATGTTTATTTTATTAGATTTTCTGCTCAAACAAATAAATTTAAAATCTTTTTTTTTAATACAAATAAAGAAAGAAATTAATAATAATGTAATAATAATAATGCTAATGTATATATATATATCATTGTCTTTTTAATAATATTAACATTCTTTTTCTAATATTTCTTGACAAGTTTCCAATAACTTATTATATCTTTTTATGATGCTAAGAGCACCTTCTTCATTACTATGGTCTGATGTTAAATCACCAGTACGAGACGTAATTTTGAAAATAAGTCCTGAAATTTCATTCTAAAATTAAATTAAAAAATAAAATTTGAGTTTTTTTGTGATATTAAATAGTATTATTTATTAATTGAATATTGCATAAATTTTAAATACCAGGTCTAGATTATGATGGTTATCTTCTCTTTCAGAAACGTCTTCTAGTCCAACAGATTCTTTTAAAAATTCAAGATTAGAAAGAAAATTATGTAATCCTTCCAATTTCTATAAACAAAGAATGAAATATTCATGTAAGTGACAGAAATAAAATGTTAATTGTTATTGAAAAAAAAACTAATGATATGCGACCTTTCGATCTTCTTCTTCTTTCTTAAATAATTCTCTTTCCTTGGTCATGTTTTTACTAATAATTTCACGTTTTTGTTTAACTTCTAATAAATCATCCTTTACTTTTTTCATTTGCATTAATTTTTGATTAAAGAATTCATGTAGATTCAATTGCTTTTGAATAATTTCAGCCTAATGTTATTTTATAATTTACAAAATAAAATAAAAAAAGATGTGCATGTATAATTATTAACATATAATTATTAATGATGATCAACATTTTGATAAAACAAATCCTTGACAAAACCTGTTTTGTAAATTGAAGTTCAAATTCTTTCTTGAAATTTTCAATATTATTTTTGTGTGAATCTTCTTCTAACTTATCTCTAATTAAGAAAAAATCAATAAATAAACAAATATTTTATCCAATAATTTAAAAAAAATCAACTTACAAAAATTCATCAATTGTTTCATTAATGATGTTATGAATCATTTTAATTTCTTCTGTAGGATTTCCAAGTTTTGAATGACTCCTTTTCTTTGCTTTTCTTACAGCATTGCTATCTTCGACTTTCTCATTAACATTTGATATATGATACTTTCTTGTTTCTGACATAATCTTTTTTAAAAATATAAAAATATTAATAAATCGTTAAATATTCATTTATAAGAAATATGATTTATTATCGTTATTGTTATAATTACTTGATTGTCATCTTTCAATGAATTTCCTTCTTGATCATTATTTGGTGGATCAATTGTTCTTTTTCTTTTATTAGGATCTGATAAATGTTCAGTAGTAAAATTTTCTTCCGAATCCTCCTCCATTTCTTTTTCTACTAATACTTCTTTATCAGTATCATCTTGAACAGGTACCATGATTGGAATATTGCTAAAAGATGCTGGTTTTTCCAGTATTGATAAAATAGAAATTGGTTTAGCCAATGATGATGCAAATGAAGGTTCAAGTACAAATGTGCCATCAAGCCCTGAGAAAATTTCTTATTAAATTATTATTATTATTTAAAATCAGTAAAGTGATTATGATTTAATTAAAAATTAAAAAATTAAAATTGCTATTTGTTAACTTAAAAAAAATGTCAATACCATTATCATTATTAATTAAAGGTAAATAACTATTCTCTTCTATATCACTAAATTTAGGTGATTGACTATTTGATGATTGCATGGACATAGATATTTGATCTTCTGGTGTAATTTCCAATGTGGTAAGATTATTGCTGCTGTTTTCATCCAATGCTGTAGGAGACGAATCATGTTTTTTTATTATGGTCAACCCTAGATAATCATTTGGAATAGTTTGTACCGGAATTGATGGTTCATCAATCTCATTTGTAATATCAATATCTAATGTGAATCTGTTAGACTGTTTTCTAGGAAAATCTTTATTTCGTTTAGTCATTCTTCTATTATCAAATAGTTTATAAAAATCAGAATCAATTAATGACATTTTGACAGATGATTCGCTTGGCTTTCCTTCCTCTACTTGAATAGCAGCTGACTTATCTAAAATTTTATTGTTTGATCCGCTTGGCCTTTCTTCTACTTGAACAGCAGCTGATTTACCTAAATATTTTTTGCTTGAATATTTTACTTCCTCTAATTGATTAGTATTAGGTTTATTTGATTCATTTGACTTTGTTTCTTCTGCTTGATCAGTAGATTTGTCTAAATTTAGATTGATTAGACCATTTAGTCTCTCTACTTCTACTTGCTTAGTAGATTTATATAAGTTTTGATTGTTTAAACCATTTTGCCTTTCTACTTCGACTTGCTTGGAAGATTTATCTAGACTTGGATTATTTGAATCAATTGAATTTTCTTGAATTTCTGATATAAGATTAGTAATATTTCCTGTAATCAAAGAAGAAGGAAGTTCAAGATTTTCTATCATCATGTGTGTTTCAAGTTCATTTATTTCTTTAGTGTTTTTAGTATTTCTGGGTGATTCAGGAATTATAAGTGATATAGGTGAATTAGGCAATTTATGTGAATTATTATTAGATGCAGCCGAAATTTGCTTTTGTTTTTTAGAATTATCGTCATCACTTTGTTCAATATTTGAATCATCAAAAATTGATTCAAAGGATATATCTAGTGGATCTACGCCTTCAGGTAATTTAATAGTATTTCTTCGATCCAATCTACATTAATGTGAAATTTTCATAATTAGTAAAAATATAAGAATTATATACGAGAGTATATAGATACATTCATATTTATACGACTTTATAAATTGTTAGCTGTAGACACACCTTGAATTTCTTGTTCTTGTAAGTAAACGTTCTTGATATCTTTCATTGATCTCAAGAGAAGTTTTATTGTTGATACTAACCATGTTTTTTTTCTTATAATATATAAAAAGAATTTATGAATTTATTATTATTATCAGAATAAACGTTCTTCTAAAATAAATTGTTTACAAGTTATTTTCCAAGGAGCAAATAAAAATTTTTAATTATCACGTCTATCCTATATGTACGCGAAAATATTAATATATGAATTCATGATTAATCAATCAATCACACCAATTGATCCTTGTACTACGTATTTATATTTTTTTATAAAAAATGTCATTTTCTTTAACAAAATCATTACTTAAAAGAACAAATCTTCATAAAAATTTATTACAAACAAGAAGAGCCAGTGGAGGACATGGACACGAACCAGAGTTTAATGAACCAAGTGGTTATTTATTTGGAGAAAAAGTTCGTATTTTTAGAAATTTATATAATTTCATCTTTGAATGAATTTCAAAATTTATTATTTTTAAAAATACTAGCCACCTCCACCAGGACGCGAAAATATTAATATATGAATTCATGATTAATCAATCAATCACACCAATTGATCCTTGTACTACGTATTTATATTTTTTTATAAAAAATGTCATTTTCTTTAACAAAATCATTACTTAAAAGAACAAATCTTCATAAAAATTTATTACAAACAAGAAGAGCCAGTGGAGGACATGGACACGAACCAGAGTTTAATGAACCAAGTGGTTATTTATTTGGAGAAAAAGTTCGTATTTTTAGAAATTTATATAATTTCATCTTTGAATGAATTTCAAAATTTATTATTTTTAAAAATACTAGCCACCTCCACCAGGACAAAAACGTGTGAAAGAAGATTGGGAAAATTATTGGTATTATGGTATGGGTGGATCATTATTATTAGGAACAATAATATATTTTTATAAGCCAGATACAAGGTAAAGAAGCATTAACATTAATGTTGATTTTTTTACATCATTACTAATTATATTTTTGAATTAAAAAAGTGTAAACACTTGGGCAACAAAAGAAGCAGAAAAACGATTACAGGAAAGAAATGTAGTCTTGGATTATCCTAAAACTGAAAAAAAGCTTTAATTTTAATTATTTAAAAAAAAAGACAATAAATCACAATTTTATAATCTTTAGATTATGTCAGGAAAAAAATATTGTTCTTTAAAGCTATTCCTCGTCCTATTTTTCACCAAATTGAGATCAAATTCAATTATTGTTTTACATATGACTAAAATTATCATCACCATCACTGTTATCGTTTTCTTCTCCCAACTCATCCACATCTTCTTTTACATCACTATCTCCTTCTATTTCTTCTTCATCCTCTTCTTCATCAGTAAAACTGTCAATTTGTATATTTTGTAATGAGAATGTTTCGCCACGTTCTAATTTTCGTAAATAAGATCTCTTCTGACGTTCTGACAATTTTGATAAAAATTTTTCATGTTCTTGTTGTTCCCTTAACAATTCTTTATCACTTTTAATACCACTAAAGAATGAAAAAAAAAAGATTTTGTGAATTAATAGTTTTTTTTCTTACAAAAATGAAATCAAAAAAAATTTAATTTGAACCTTTTTATAATTTCATTAGATTCTTGACATTTTGCACAGACATTTTTACCTGATGCACATTTACTGCATAATACGTGGTAAGCTTCTTTGACATTTTTCTCGTTACAATTAACGCTTTGTTTTAAATTTTTTTGATGGGAAAAATCAAAATTTTATAATTCTAAAAATTCTAAAAATTCGGATTAAATATTAAATTAAACAATCAATTGTAGATATTCACCATTTTTTAGCAACAGTTAATGTTTTGTATTTTTTATATTTCTTTTTCCATTCAACAATATCTTTACATCTTTTACACCTAAAATTAATCAATCGACGTAAAATTTACATAATAATATTAATTGTATTATTTTTTGTTGTTATTTGTTGTTATTATTATTATCATTATTATTAAGTACATACAATCCATCAATTGGCAAAGAATTTATTATTTTTGATTTCTTTGAATTTTTATTTGGTTTAAAAGCAAAAGAATTTTGATATTTTTGTCCTGGTTTTTTTTTGCTACTTAATGAAACTTTTGTCATAATTATTTTTTAGATTGATTGATCAACATTTGATCAACATTTATATTTATATATTTTTTTTATATAATTTCATTAGATAATTTCCAAATTAACTTTATGAGGCTATTTATTCCTCTTGAAAATAATTAAAAATATTAATATTTCAGAGAGAACAATTAAAATAGTTAAATTGAGACTGAATAAATTTCATAGACTGATCTAAATATTACCTAGGGAGCATGAAATCAGAATCAGTATTAATAAAGTTGTTTATTAAATTTAGATAAGAGTTGTTTAGAATAAGGTAGGAATTTGATAAATGCTGAAATAGTACCAAATTAATATTAATAGTAACAAATAGCTGGATGAGTATAATTGATTAGCTGTTTATTTTTTAGATTGATGTTGTTTTGCTTTAACCATGAGTTAAATAATCTCATAGTAACAGTTTATTAAACTATAGGAGATGATGTGGAGAATGGTGGAAGTTGTTTTATGAGAATTAAATATTGAGTAAAGTTGATTGGATTTATGAATTACTCCAGCTGCAGGAATTATAGGAGGAATAGAGGTTGTAGTAATTGTCTAGTAATATGGGAAAACCTTTTAACCTGATAAAAAATTTAAACATATATGCAAGGTAATTAATTATCTGCTCAAATTTGTATAGAGACATACATGTATTGTGTTATTTTATCATCAACAGATGAAAATTTAAAAAGACCCATATACATTAACAATGCTACCCAAATCTGAATAAAGTTTAGTATTCTCATTGATGCCAATTACTTCTAAATCTTCACTTAAATCAACCACATAATGTTCTTTATGTTTCAAGGTACTTTTTGGTTAATGCCAATTATTTTACATTTATGGCCAAGTTTGAATCAACTTTTGAGCCACATTTGTCAATTGGTTGCAAACTTTTATATAATAAATGCCCATCAATTAATTTAAGCTTTGGCAAATACAATTTACAATAAACAAATGTGGATCATTTATAAAGCAACAAATGCTTTTACAAAGTTCCTTCTTTATCTACTTTTATTTTTCTTTTGCTGATTAAAGCCCTGTTGATTCAGTCTCTTACAAGACTCCTTAAACTGTCTATTTTAAGAGCAGTACAACACTAATTTAACTCAACACAATAACAATGTGTAATAATGACTTTAGTTAATAAATGTCAGCATTTTATATTTTATATCTTGCCAAACAACTTTAATCTGCAATTTGTGATAAATGGGAAGGATTGATATTAATATTAATATACATTTTGGTAAAATTCAGGGTTAATAATCATAAGAAAATTAATTAATAGTCAAAATCCTGAATCAGTTTCTATTTATAGAAATTTAAATGTCCATTTTAAATGTAAAGTCTTGTTCCAGTAGGTGAAATGAAACCACATTCACATTATCTGCTAAATGCAAGAGAAAGAGCAAAAGCAAGGTACAACTAAATTGACTGTACTGCCTATTGAAGTCTTTAAAGCATTATAATTTAGTAAATTATTATCATAAATTCTATTATTCTATTATTATTATTATATTTAAAAAATAAAATAGTTTTAAAGATAACAAATATAACAGTTGATTTATAATGAGCAGACATATCAAAATCATCAATTGTCTAAAACATGTTAAATGAATATTTATTTATTATCATTAAATTTAACAATGATTTTTTTCTTGGCTATTCTAGTTTAATGTATATGCTATTAATACTACTATCGATATATTACTATAACATTGCATTAATTAATTTTCTTCTTTGTCAAAAAAATAGATGGTTTTGGTGGTGTACAACCAGAAAGAATTGTTATGCGACAAGTATAGGGACATTCAGTATGGTATAACTCTTGCAAAACGTATGGTATGGTATTGTATAAGTGTAATAAAATGGTTGTATACCAATGCTTAAATCTAACATACTTCCCTTCACACCCACCAAAAAAGGATTTAGAATAAAATTTTGTGTGACTTGGTATGGAAAAATATGGGCTATACCATACCATACCATATGTTCTGCAAGAGTTATACCATACTGAATCTCTCCCTACTGTACACGGCCATTGTTAATTTATTTATATTTATTACTATTATTGTTTAGACACTGGTAAAAATGTCAAATTTGGCTTGCAGTAAATGTTTGTATGCACAATTTTGGTTAATGAAGGTCAAACTTTTGATAAAATTGTAAAAACCTTTAACTATTGTTTATTTTTTTGTCAATGGTAGAAGTTCAAATACTGTAATAATACTATTGTGCAAAATCACATGATAATTCAAATTTTTTGAGTATAGATGATCTGCACTGTAGTGAACTTTTTATTGGCTGTGTAGATCTTTCATGAAAAACCAAAAACCTTAGTTTAGATCTTTCTCTACAAAGTTATGTAAGAATGAAAGAATTGAAATTTTTTTGTTTTTTTTTTATGTCTGCGTAACAATTCTTAATATTAAAAATAAAAAAAAAAATTTTTTATGGTCGCGTAAGAATTCTTAAATCGTTGATCTTTTAAAAAAAAATTACAATAATAAATCTCTGCATAAAACTCTGCCAACAATTATTGCCTGACTTTTATGCAGTAACTAATACTAACCGTATGCGACAAGGTTGGCGAATGTGTGGTCCATTGGTGGTCTATTGGTGATCCATTGGGTCCATTAGTGTAACATTTTATTGATGGCAATGGACCAGTCAATTTGCCAACCCTGGTACGCAATACTTTAAAGGTCACGTGACAGTTAAAGTAAATTTTTAATTGATGTTATGGCGCAGAAGTTCAACGACTAATATTAATACTAGCGCTTTTCAACACCGAATTTTCAAATAGTTATTAGTAATCGTGTAACTTGTTCCAACTGCTTTTTTTATATATATAGCCGGATAATCAATTAATACCCAAAACAAGAAACAAAGATAAAAACATGATCACAATTGTTTAATAATTGGGTGTAATTTTGATCGTAATTTCCTTTTGACGTTAATATTAATGTTCACTTTGTCTAGTTTGGTTACAGTCTGTTCCATATATAAACGATAAAGTTTTGGAATCTAAATTTTGGAGAGAAGAGAACAAATAAAAATTAATCGTATAATATTTTAATTGTTTTGTTACTGTTATTAATAGACATTAAAAAAAGATTTTTAACATATATGTAATTCAATATAATGTAATAATAAAAACAACAGAAAAACAATTTCCATTATTAGCGTTAATGAAAAACTCGAACTTTATTTGTTGTATCACACATAATTAAAAAATAAATTATGCAATTCCAACAAATTTATTTTGATTTTATATTTTTTAAATCTTATCGTTAGATTTATAATGTTAAAAAATACTAAAAATATTGAACTACGTTATGCCCCCCCAAAAAAAGTCAATGCACGTTACTCGAAACAAGAATTAGTTGGTAGAGGTGCTTACGGTGCTGTGTATAAAGGGTTGGCATTAGAAGAAAATATATTAATTATAAAAAAAATTTTTCTGAAAGGCAAATTTTTAAATTAGTTAATTCCTTTCCTCCGTGTGTGTGTCTTTATACACACAGAATAGATAATGATACAAGTAAAGTCGTAGCAATAAAAGTTTTAAATTTAGATACAGAAGAGGATGATGTTGATGATATTATCAAAGAAATCAATTTACTCTCACAAATTAAACAGAGTGATTCAAGAAATATAACCAGATATTATGGAAGTTTTCTTCATGGCACTAAATTATGGATTATCATGGAATATGCAGCAGGTGGAAGTATTAGAACTTTGGTATGTATTATAATAATTATTGTTGTTATTGTTATAATAATAATATTTATTTAAACGGATTCTAGTATTTTAGTTTACATTTAAAACTAAATTATCAGTCAATCAATTGTTGAAATATTTTTAGATGAAGGCAGGCCAAATAGAAGAAAAATATTTATCTATTATAGCAAAAGAAGTAATACAAGCTTTAATCTATTTACATAGATGCAAAATAATTCATCGTGATATTAAAGGTTTTGCGATAAATATTATTTATGTATACATATATATATATAATAATTTAAATAAATAATAATTTATTTATCTTTATTAATAGCCGCAAATATATTATTAACTGCTGAAGGTAAAGTTCAACTGTGTGATTTCGGAGTTGCCGGTCAACTAACTGCTTCTTCAACAAAAAGAACATCATTTGTTGGCACACCGTATCCTTTCTAAATAGATAGTATATTTATGTGTTAATGTTATGCGTGAATTTGAATTTAAAATTATTTCCATAACTTTTTCTTTTTTTCTTTTAGATATTGGATGGCACCCGAAGTAATTATCGAAGGTGCAACCTATGATACTAAAGTTAGTAGTAAAAAATTTAAAAATTATTATCATTATGAAATAATAATATTAACGATTTTTTTACTTTGTAAAATAATAATAATAACAATAATAATAACAATAATAATAATAATAATAATAATAAAGGCTGATATATGGTCTTTAGGAATTACTGTATATGAAATAGCTACAGGAAATCCGCCATATCATGATCAAAATGCTATGAAAGCAATTCAATTAATTCCCAAAAAGCCACCTGCAAGATTAGAAGGAGTATATTCACAACATTTAAAAGAATTAGTTTCACTTTGTCTTAATGAAAATTCAGAACAAGTATTTTATAATTTATTTATTTAATATAATTTATTCTAGTATTATTATTAACATTATTTGATGTTTTTGTTAAAGCGACCAACAGCAGATGATTTATTGAAAATTAAATTTGTAAAAAATGCAAATAAACATCAAAATGGAATATTACGAGATTTAATTGCAAGGTTTGAACATTGGAAACAAACGACAGGATATCGTCAATCATTTTCCGATCCATCCTTAAGGTATCGTTATTATGATAAAATCAAATATATATATATGTGTGTGTACGTATATGTATATGTATACGTTAAATAAAATAAATCTTTCAGTAAAAAGGGTCAACACGAACGTGAAAATCGCAATGATGATATCGATTCATGGAATTTTGATGTAAGTTAATGTTAATTTTATTATTACAAAATTAAATGATTTATTAACTCTAAAAATACTAATTTCGATATTAATAATAGACCGCGAGAAAATCTTCTTCACATCATCGTAAATCACGTTCTTTAGGATCACTCACAAATTTTCCAGACAAATTGTCACCTGTGGTCGAAAGTGACGAACAAATTATCAAAAATAATAGTAGTAATAATAATAATGATAATAATAGTGAAGAGAAAGAAGAGAAAACAATGATACCTAGAGATGCTACTATTAGGTATGGACGCATACTTGCTGATGAACTCATGTCACCGACAAGACCAATATATCTAAGAAACTATTCAGAAAATCAACATCCACTACAATTATTATTTAACACTGATGACCAAAAACAACAACATCAACGACAGAATAGTGGCAATAAAGATTCTTATTCAAAAAACTTTTTCGATAGTCCAACCATATCTATTCCATCAGATAATGACGAGGTTATCAATTTTTCAGATTTAGATGGCCCGCCTTCTTCACGAACAATGACAAAAGAACTACTTCAATCTCAATATGATAACCAAACAAAAGATGCATCTTCTACAGAAAATAATGACAATGTTAATGGTAAAGATGGAAAAGATCGTATAACAGGCTTAAATCCTTCGACATCATCGGAACTATTAACGGCATCATCAACATCATCCTTTTCTTCCTCGTCGTCAACGTCAACGTCAACGTCAATATCAACATCAACATCATTTTCTTCCTCTTCTTCGACATCATCAACATACTCGTTAAATAAATATAACAATAATAATAACAACAATAATACTAATAACAAGATAGGAAAATCACCAGAGATTATAGTTCCATTCGATCCATCACCTTCACAAAAAATTGTTTTAACACCGGTCGAGGAAATTAAAACTTCAAACGATTTATTATTTCCTAACTCAGCATCAAATAATGATAATAAACCTTCTCTTAACAAAGGCCCGTTTAAATTCATGATGACTCCAGTAAGACATGAAAGTTATGATGCATTACCACTACCAAACAATAACGATTTATCATCAGGTATACCATTATACAGGTCAAAAAGTCAAGGTAAAGAACATCCTCAGTATGCAAGAAGAGTTAGATCTGCGACAACTTTAAATCAAACAAAATCCCATGCTGAAGAATTATTAGGACAAAAAAAAATAAATAACAATAATAGTTATGATGATGATGATGACGATGGTTATGGTATTAACACTAAAATAAATGGTAATTTGGCTTTGAACGTGCCAAGACAAAGAAGTGTTAGTGATGTACAAAAAACTTCAAAAGCTAAAATTTTAGTCGAAGAACCTGGACAAATCAATTATTTACTTCCACCGTCGCCATCTTCAAATAAATCAATTCTAAATCGCTCATCATCACCGCCGCCACCACTACAGCCGCCGCCACCAACACCCACCAACATATTAACAAATCAACCTTCACCTACACGACCTATACAATCTTCGGCTATTATAAAAGATGGTCCTGAGATAAGACCATTAAAAATGGATAATTATCGTGGAACTAGTGAAGTATTTGAAGACTTAACAAAAACCACTGAGGACTTCCTGCAATGGATGATATTATTAGACGCAGGAATAAGTCAATTATTGACAAGATCTTAATCTTGTAAAAATTATTTATTTTATTTAATTTCATATATATATTTAAAAAGTCATTAGATATATTAGATATTAAGTTATTTTATTTTTAGAAAAGAATGTTTATAAAAATTTGTTTAATATATTAATAAATATTATTTTTTTTTATTCAATTTTCTCCCAAAAAATTTATATATCTATTACATCATACACACAACAGCATTTTTTATTTATTTATTTATATAATTTCCCTTTGCAATGTACATTGTTTTTTTCAATTAATTCTTTTTGGGATAAAAAAAATCAAATTTGTTTTAATGATAATAAAAAAGACAATATGGCTTGTCCTGCTTGAACAATTAAATATTTTCAAAATTCACTAATTTTTTCTTCTTTTTTTTCGATTTAACTTCTTCCATATCATTCCAAATTTCTTCAAGTTCCTTCTCATCATTATTAGCTTTTTTTATTTCATCTAATAATCAATAAATTTAAAAAATTTAATATAATAATATACACACACAAACATTTGAACAATCGGGGCCTGTTCAATAGAAACAAGGAATGTTGGCCAAAAGTCAATTGTTAGTTATCACGAAGAACATTTTAAGCTTAGAAACCATGCCCATTTAAAAAGTAATGGGGCACAGAATTAGGGCAATTGTGATTTTGAGCTAATAACACTTCTATATACAATTCACCGCGAGGATTAATTTTAGCTTAAAAACCATACCCACTTTACATAATATAATTTAGAGATATTTTCTGTCAAAAAATAATAGTGAAATGCAAATCTTTTTTGATTTTCTCATAACATGATTTTTTCAACATTCCTGAACAGGCCCCAATTATATATTACTATTGTTATTTTTATACCTTCATCATTTACCAAAACAGATGTAAGATGTTGTTTTAAATAGATTTTCTGTAAAAGATTATGTTTTCCACTCATTTCATGTACGCGTAAAAATCTATCGAGTGATACTGTTGCTAAATATGTTGATTTTGAATCAACTTCCATACTTGAAACTGCACCAGCAAATCCTTTATTAAAAATAAAAAGTACGAGATGGTGAAAAATAAATAAATAAATTTTTTTTTAGGCAACTTAAAACTTTTTTTAAACGATGATACCTTTAAATTGCCCTAGATTCTTTCCTGTTTAGTAATTTTATATAACAATTGTTAAGCGAATTAATATAAAATATATCTTTACATTAAAAATAATAATAATGTCATCATCATTATTATTAAAATGATTATATTATTTACCTGTTCTTACATCGATAGAAAACAAATTTCCAGCAGTGTTCGAAAACAAAATTTCACTAATTAAAAATAAATATTCAAAATAATTATTATTTATTTCTAAAAACTAAAAGAATTTCTGTTTAAATACCAACTTCAAATTTCTGCCTACAATTAACGATACCACGGGATGTTCACCTATGCTTAAATCCAAAACTGGTCTTCTTTTTACTTTAGTATCATATATTCTTATCTATGCAAATAAATTAAAGAGATTATTATTATCTAAAAAAAAACAATTAAATTCTTTACCAATTCAAATTATTATATCATCGTCTTTATCATCATGTTCATCATTAATTACCTGATTATATTTTGTACCAACTACAATTTTTGTAGCATCATCGTTTAAAAATTGCATATCTGTATTCCATACTGGAACTCTCAAATCCAAAAAATCATTTCTCAAGTTTTTAGCTTTCCATATTAATCCTGGCTTAGATTCTTTTTTTGATTGTGAACTGAATGGGCAACTTCCCTCTTTATAAGAATTCACATCCCATATCGTCAACTCATACTCTTTACCACAGCATCCAAATATATTATGTGATTTTGGATGTACTCTTAACCTACACAAATCTTTTGAAATCGAAAAACTTGTAATTGGAAATGATGATTCCTAAAAATTAAATTATAAAAAAAAAATTTTTTTAGGCATCTGTTAACAAACCAACTAATAGAAATTATATATAATTACATTATCAATTGAAATTGGTTGATAAGTAATTATACCCGTCTTGGCATCACATGTTACCAAAGTACTGGAAAAGAAAAAAAGAAACCCATTTGTTAAAAAAAATTATAAAAAAAAAAGTCATTAAAAAAATTTATAATCACCTACGTAGAATTGGCAAATAAACCAACAAATTGCACACATTCTATTTTATTATCAGAAATTTGTTCATGTGTAAACTCTTTCATGGCTTTACCTTCCTCATTTGGATCAAGTATATGTATTTTTCCATTTTTACGTGCAACTATTATCTAAAAAAAAGAAATTATTTTAAGTATACAAGTATATATTGAATCAAGCAATTATTAATGAAAATTTCAGCGAATAACCTGTTGTTGTTCACTTTCATCATATATTTTTGCTTGATACATCAATTGGACACCTTGTGCCCGATCAATTTTACCCCATTTTTTGATGATAGGTGATGCTTCTTTTTGCGAAAGATTTGAAATTGTGATTGCTGATTAAATTTAGTTTATTAATGTTTAAGTTATATTAATTTATTAAAATTTTCAAAATTTTATTAAATTAATATTTATTATTTTCTTATCTACCTTTTATCAAGCCAACTTCGTCTCCAGTATAAAATTTCATAATTTTTTTTTAGTCAATTTTTTTTCTGTCGACAAAATTTATGAAGATAATTTCCATATTTGGCTAGCACGCTCCCTCCGCACTCTGAATTTATTTTTGCCAACTACTTAAATTGATAATGTGTCTAGCTTTATTATTATTATTATTATTAAAATATTCGGAATTATATATATGTATTGAATTGATTGACATTGCAAAGGAAAATAGAGATATTAATTTAACTATGGTGCCAAGTTCATTCATCATTGACAATGGTTAAATTAGGATGTTTAAGTTGTTCGATTACATTTCACACATGCACATTTAGATGTCTTAAATTTTTGGGAACGATTGCAATAGCTAGCAAAACAAGCAGAAAGTACTTTTAATATTTGACTTATGACCCAACAGACAGGCGCGTTTTTTTCTCGATTTGATCCAAACTTTAATAACCATAAAGTTACACCCATATAAAAGTTTAAATAATTTACATCTTCTTGACTACTATAAAATTTTTTTTAGGGTAATATTGAAAAATCGTAGCTTTGAAGTGAAAAGTAATGCTGTTTTTGAATAACTGTTCTGAAAGAAGATTCGTTGGAAAACTTTATGGCACAGTTTTATTGTTATGTTAAAAAAAACAGTTAGTCGGTTACACGATTCGATAATAAATGTTAGATCATACATAAATAATCAAATGATCGATCGATAATTAATAATACATAAATAATAAAGTCAAAGTTCAAAATTTTTCCACGAAAAAAAAGTTTTAATGCCATTGTTTCACCAAATTAAATTTCAAAATATTGTTTCACGCTTTCCAGAATTTTTATTTTCCTCTTCATTTAAACCTTCTTTGATAACCAAAAATAAAAATATTTTTCAAGGTATATATATAATTCTGTTGGCCCAACCTTATCTATTTTATAAAGACCAATCAATTGATTCAATTAATTACATTAACTATAACCTAAAAAATAGTACAAAATTGTTATTCTTCTAGTATGGCGTGGTATTGTTCAGGTAAAGATATCGTTGAGCAAAATGATTTATAGATAGATAGAAAGAATTCGAGGTAAAATGATTTTAAATATATTTTCCAATTATCATTATTACTGATCATATATATATATATATATATATATACATCATAGCAAAAAGTAATGATGGTTTGGTGGAAAATTTAAAAAGAGCAGATATTATTAAATCAGAAAGGGTTGTAACAGCAATGAAATCTATTGACCGAAAAAATTATGTAGAATTTGAACCATATCGTGATTCACCTCATAGTATAGGTTATGGTGCCACCATCTCTGCACCGTAAGTACTTTATATTTTGATTTATGATTATTTTTTATAAACAAGTTTTATTATTGTAAATGTAATATCGGCCTTTTTTTCTTTAAAGACATATGCATGCATATGCATTACAAAGCTTAGAACCATTTCTACAGCCTGGAATGAAAGGTGAGGCATTGATTGACCATTCATAGAATTTTTTTCTTCGTTGTATATTGATATTATTGTATTATATAAAAAACAGCTCTAGATATTGGATCTGGATCTGGTTATTTATCAGCATGCATGGCTCAAATGGTATTAATTTTTTTCCAAAGAAAAAAAAAATTGAAATATAAATATTTAACCTTACATTTTTTTTTTAAAAAAAAGGTTGGACCTAGTGGCAAAATTATTGGAATAGATCATATTCCCGAACTTGTAAATAAAGCCATAAATAATGTAAAAAAAGATAAGCAAGAACTTCTAGATACTAAAAGATTAAATTTTATTGTTGGTGATGGTAGAAAAGGTTATCCGGAGGAAGCACCTTATGACTGCATGTAAATATTTTTATTATTTTCATATTTAATAATGTTTTTTAAAAATATATATTTAATATTTTTGTTACTCTAGTCATGTTGGAGCTGCAGCTAAAGAAACACCAGAAGCATTAATTGATCAATTGAAATCACCTGGCCGGTAATTATTATAATTTTTTTTAAAAAAAATGGATCATACAAAAAAATATTTCATGTAAATTTCTTTTATTTAGAATGTTTATTCCTGTGGGTAGTGGGCATCAATCAATTTATCAAATTGATAAAGACAATGATGGAAATATCATAAAAAAGGTTTTAATGGATGTTTCGGTAGGTATAAAATTATTATTCAAGTTTTTTTAATAATTAAATATTTAATTAATTACTAATTATTGTTATTTTAAATAATTAGTATGTTCCACTTACTGATGCTCATAAACAAATAAATTAAATAGTTAATTTAGCAAATTTTAAAAAACATTTTATAAATAATTTTATATTAAAGCATTACATAGTATTATTAATATTGGTGGCAATAATTAATAATTTATTTTCAATTTGCCTTTGACGCCATAGTCTTTGCTTTACCATCAGGTATATAAATAAATTTAGGGATTGTTGTTGAAGTAGAAGTAATATTATTGTCTAGTATGTAAAAACCTTTACGTTCAAATTGAATAATATCGCCTAGTTGATAAAACAACAAATTAATAATAATAAAATTTAAAAAAATATATATTCAAAATTAAGTGTGTGTGTGTATATATATATACCTTTCTTTAAATCTTTAATATTTGAATCTGCAATAGCCTTTTCAATAAACTCGGTTTTCTCAGTTATACAATCCTCAATTTTATCAGCTTCTTCCAATTTACGTCGATTAATCAAATAATCATAATCTATTAATTCAATTTCAACATTATGTTGGTAATTATCATGAGTTTCCGGTTTTTGTGTTGAAGAAAAATCTGATAACCAAGTGATTTTCTTTTTGGTTTTTTTGAAATCGCCTTCCAAATGTAGTTTTACTTCTAATGAATTGATTTTATCAGGGTTTTCTGGTAATTTTATAATCGATTTTACTATCGCGTTACCCCAATCCATTAATGTAATCTAAAATCAACGCATAAATAAATAAATAAATATATAATACTAGTGTTTATAATAGGCTATTTATTGAATAAACTTCTTTTACTACCTCTTCATTCAATTCAAAAGATTTAGCATCTTCTTGTTCAACCAAGATGTTTGGAGCGTACCAGGTTTTTTTTGATCCAATATTTGTATTTTTTTTATGTTTTGGCATCAATTTAAATTGAACATTTTCAGGCCCTTCTAATATTTTAACTTTTACGCTGTGTATATGATGTATTAATTTATTATTATTAATATTACTATATTATAAATATATAATTAATTAATTTCAATCAATAAAATTGAATTAAAAAACTTACACGTCTTGTTCAAGTATAGCTGTATGTCTAGGTGCAATTGGATCAATAATCTTTTTATTAAGTGCCCAGAGTTTATCCCATTCCAACATGACATCATTTTGAGAAGCTCCTTGCGACAAAATATATTGTTTTAATGCTTCCACTTTCAAGCCTCTTCGTCTGATCCCTTAATGCATGAAATAAATATGTAAATATATATATCTATATACATGAGAATTTTTTTATATAGAAAGTTTTCTTTTCTTGTACCTCTAATAGTAGGAAACCTTGGATCATCCCAACCACTTGCATATCCTTGATCAACAAACCATTGTAATTTACGTTTAGACAATAAGGTGTATACAAAATTCATACGACTATAAATAAAAAAACAAAATGAATTAAAAAACTCTTATTCATAAGTAGTAGCGATAACTAAGAACAATAAAACAACACTAATAAAATCAAGGTGAAATACCTAAAGTCCCAAACATGAACTTTTCTTAGGTTTAGAGAGTCAATAAACCAATAATATTGCGCATTACGATCTCTATACTCATTAGTTCTTAATGCGTGAGTAACACCTTCAATTGAGTCAACTACAGGACATGCGAAATCATAGGTTGGATAAACTATCCATTTATTACTATTTAATAAATGATAAATATTTTATTGCATGTTTAAAGAAATTAGCTATTTATCCATTTTTTTTAAAAAAAAAGTTTTATAATAATTATTAAATTTAACATACCCAGTGCGATGATGAGATAATTTGTTGCATCTGTAAATAACAGGGTCTCTAAGAGCTTTATTTGGATTGCTCATATCAATCTTAGCTCTCAAACAATAACTCAATGCCTTTATTTAAAAATTATCATTAATATTTTATAATATTTTTCAAATAATTTTTATATATATATTTTACTAACAGAATCAGTTCCCTCTTTCATCTCTTTCCATGTTTTAAGATTCACATCAACAGATGAATCACGATTTTTTGATGGAATTCCCTCCATACGTTCTTGTCTCATCTTTTTATTTTTTGAAATTAATATTTGTATAGTTGAATAAAGAGTTTTTTTGTAAAATAAAAATAAAATAATCGATTGATAAAATACCGTTGCTACATCAGTATCATCGACATAGGCTAAACCTTTTTTAATCAATTCAGTTGCATAATTATAAAGTTCTTCAAAATGATCTGAAGTGTAAGTTATTTCGTCTGGTCGAATTCCTAATAATTCTAAATCTTCTTTTATTGAATCTTCAAATTCTTCCTAAAATTTGCATATCATAAAAAATTAATTAATTAATTAGAAATATATTTAGTTCTATACATATATAATTTATACTAACCTTTTCTTTACTTGGATTTGTATCATCAAATCTAACAATCAATTTTCCTTTATATTCTTGAGCAAAATACTGATTTAACATGGCAGCTTTTGCGTGACCAATATGTAAATAACCACTTGGTTCAGGTGGAAATCTCGTTACAACTTTTCCAACTTGTGCATTTACAAGTTCAATATTCATATTTGGTTGATCTGATCTCGCCTATATATATATATATATATGTATAAATATTATATAAATATTGAATAAATGTAATTACAAATAGATGATAATCGATAATGAATAATAATATTAATGAATAATTCACACTTTAGTTGATGAAATTGCTTTAGTTGTCCAACTGATACTATTTTGTACAAAATCTAATGATCCAATGTAATTAAACCATCTAACAATATGCACTCCTGTATTTTTTCCAGATTTAAGTCGGCTATTAAATATTGCAGAACCTATTATTATTATTTATAATAAAGAAGATTTCCTTAATCATAAATATACAGATTATACAATATATAACAATATTATGATCATCATCATCATCATCATCATCATTATGTACTTTTCAATGCTCCCCATATAATAATATCTGCCAATGTAAAATTGTATTGAACAAAAAAAGTTCTTAATGTTAAATGGTGATTGATTTCATCTAATGCTTTATCAAGTTTCTTGAAATCTGTAGTTTCCAAATTATCAATTGAATAATCTATCCATTGATCAATCTAATCAAAAAAATAATTTTTCAATGATTATTTAAAAAAATTTTATTTTAAAAAAAAACTTTTTTATTACCTGCTTTGTTATCAATTCATTATCACCATGCAAATTTATCAAATTAAAGTGCTTGGCCAAATATTTTGCCACATCACTTGTTTTTTTTAAAGTCGTACTATTTAACAAACAACAACAACAATAATAATTCAATTCTCTTTTTTTTAATTTTTTAAATAATTAATAATAGCAATTATCAAATAATATACTCATTAGTCTCCAGAGTAACACTGCTTTCAGAATTTGCATCAACATTCCATTCAATTACAAGTTTATCCAAAAATTCTTGCTTAGAATTAATATAGTGTGCCAATAAAATTGGACCTAAAAAACAATTATGTATATATTAATATTATCAGGAAAGTTGTTATTCATAAATCACATTATATATATGTTATTATTACCATAAGGTACAATGTTTCCTTGCTTTGAAAAGGTTATTTTAATCGACATCTTTAATTTAAAAAAAAAAATTTTTTTTTTTCAAGCCTCTTTTTTGAATTTTTTTATTATCTGTTCAACCAATCAAAAATTTATCCATAAAATTGTGTACACTAATTACCAAATATTCGGGGTAAATAAATATTTAATTTAATGGTCAGTAATGAGCATTTCAACAAAATCTACTTCACTTGTAAATAGGTACATTCATCGCACGGCAACTATAGATAAGCCATGTTTCATATGTAATAAATATACAACAGCAGTTTTAAGAGAAGAGAATGGTGCTGATTGGTTCTATGTGTGTCTAAGGTTAGTATACTAATTATTAATTATTTTTATTTAAAATTACCACATCCTAGCATGATTGTTTAATATTTAATTTATATGCTATTTTTAAAAGTCACTTAAACGATCGAGGCTTTGCATCACCAATTCCTGAACCAGTTCCACCTGTGCAAATTGCAAACAAAACTTCTAAAACGTCTGATAAAGAAGAAAAAGATAAAGAAGATAATAAGGATAAAGATAATAAAGATATTAATAACAAAGATAATGATAACACAGATGAGAAGAAAAAGGATGATGACAAAGAAAAATCAAAAGATGTCGTAAACAAAGAAAAGGACGATAAACCAAAGCCAAAACCAAAACCAACGCAGCAACAATCACAACCACCACCAAAACCAAAAAAATATATTTTACACCGTGATATTTTTTATTTACGTGAAAAAAAAATTTTAAACATTCAAAAAGAAAAAGAAGCTCAACGTACCTTAAATTTATTACCAAGTGTTCCAAAATCTAAATTAGGATAATATGTATTTATTTATTTATTTTATTAAATTAATTATTTTTTATTTATTTAAAAGATATAATTTTACAATAATATTAATATTTATGATTTTTTTAATGATTAAAGATTTTATTAATAAAAAATAAATGCTTTTAATTAATAATCTAAAGATATGTTTTAAATACATGAATATAAATTAATAAATAAAATAACAAATGATAATACATACATTATTTAAACCATTCTGGTGATTCTTTTTGGTAATTTTTGATTTGGCTTTTGTAATTCATTTTTGACGATGACTGTTAACACTTTAACAGTCGTATTTACTTTTTCTTTTAATTAGTTGATGTCTTTTCTTGGGTAAACCACATGTCTCTATAAATTCCATCTTCTTTTTGAATAAGTTTATCATGAGGTCCACGTTCCTTTATTACGCCATCTTTTAATACAATAATTTCATCTTTTTATATTTCAATTTAATAAATAATAAATAAATTCATTAAATTTTCTAAATAGCTTTTGTATAATTTATATAAATAAAATATTCAAGTAAAATTTTTTACCTGCGTCAACAATAGTTCTTAATCTATGTGCAACAAATACACTTGTTTTCTGACTTCCTCGAAGAATGCTTCGTATATTTTCTAAAAGCGATTGCTCAGTATGTGTATCAAGCGCAGATGTAGCTTCATCAAAAAACAAAATTGGTGGATTTTTTAATATTGTTCTTGCCAATGATATTCTTTGTTTCTCGCCACCAGAAAGCATCAAACCACGCTCCCCAACGCGTGTGTCATATTTATCTGGTAATGTCATTATCACATCATGTATATTTGCACGTTTTGCAGCATTTTCTATCATATCACTAGTTGCTTTTATATTTCCATATGCAATATTATAATAAATAGTATTATTGAAAAGTGATGTCTCCTAGATAAATAAAATATACAAGATTTTAGCTTTACAAATTAAATTATTGCTTATTTATGATTATTATCACACCTGAGGAACCACGCCAATATTTGATCTTAAACTTTCCAATTTAATATCCTTGATATTTTGTCCATCTATATAAATATTGCCATTTTGTGGATCATAAAAACGAAATAATAATCTCAAAATACTTGATTTTCTATATATTATGAAAAATATTTTATTAGTATGCTATTTACAAAAAAAATTATTTATTAAATATTTAGAAAGACAAATTACCCGGATCCACTTGGTCCTACAATTGCAATTTTTTTGCCTGAAGGTACTACAAAATTCACTCCCTTAAAAATTGGACGGTCAGAATGATAGCCAAATACCACATTTTCGAATCTAATTTCTCCACCTTTAAAAACTAAAGGTTTTGAATGAGGCGAATCCTAAATTTCATAGAACTAGATTAGAAATTTTTTTTACTCATACAGCTTAAATTAGCAATATTGTATTTATTTAGTTCTAAACACCTTGATTGTCACATTCAATTGTTGTAAATTAAACATAACATCCATATCAATCAAACTTTGTCTTAATTCTCTGTAGACTGAGCCAAGAAAATTTAAAGGTAACGATAATTGAAATAGAAGTTGATTAACCATTACTAATTCACCAATAGTCAATGTTCCTAATATACAAGATTTTTATCAATGTTATTTCCTTTTTTAATAATAGTAATAAAATAAATATGAAGATGAATACAAATTACCTTCGATGATACCATTTGCTGCCAAAAACATCATCCCAGTAAGAGCACTACTAAATATAAAATTTTGCCCAGAGTTTAAGAATGCCAGGGAAGTTGCAATTTTTAAAGATGCTTTCTCATATTTATGTAAAGCTTTGTCATATTGTTCAGTTTCAAAATTTTCATTATTAAAATATTTGACGGCCTCATAATTGAGCAATGAATCAACTGCTACTGTCGCTGCTTCGTTATCAGCTTTATTTGCCTCTTTTCTGAATTTTGTCCTATTAATAATTAACGGAAAAAAATCAATTAATTTCCGGTTAATACTAATCGTCTAACTTTCAAAAAATTACCGCCATGAGGTTGTTTTAATAGTAAAAAAAGTATAAGTTGCCATTGCTGTAGCTGCAACTGCTGCAAAGTCTGTTCCAAATTTATATGACTACAATTTATTATTTCATAATTAATTAATTGATTGTTTGTTATAATAAAAATAAAATAAACAATTATTATTATTTGTAATATATTTTATTCTTACCAAAATTCCACAAACTACAGAAATCTCAAACGCGGTCGGCAAAACGTGAAAAACAATTGAAGAAAGCAAAAAACTTATTCCTCTATATATTAAAATAATTCATTTGATTAAGAAAACATTTCCTTTTAAGTGTTTATCAAAACTTATCCAATTCGTATTTTTTCATAATTATAAAATAAAACCAAGTATTTTTTCTATGTATCACCACACATACTTTGTTCCGCGATCAATGGCTCTACTTAATCCTCCTGTTTGTCTTGATAAATGGAAATTTAAATCCAATCGATGCAAATGATAAAACACATTCTTTGCTACTTGTCTAATTGCCTTTTGAGCCACGTTGGCAAATATTGCATTACGAAGTTCCTGAGAAAGTGTCCCACAACCCCTTGCCAAACCATCTTATTAAATATAATTTAAATATTTCCTTATTTATATAATAAAATTAATCAATTATAATTATTTTTTATATTCTTACAGCCAATAATCATTGCACCAGCAACTGTCCAAACTGTTCCAAATTGACTTGCATCCATATTTAGAGAATCAATAATATTTTTGAACAAGAATGGAACTTGAACATTTAAAATCTGTATAATAAAAAAATCACGTTATAAATATTATTTTATTATATGTGTAGATAAAATCTATGTAAAATATTTTTTAAAATTACCTTTCCGCCTACTAACAAAGATAATGCCATAACAACACGGATTTTAATAGATAAATTATCCTTTGGCCATATATACCTTGTCAAATTTTTTATAATATGCCAATCAGCAGATGATTGTAGTGCTGATTTTGGAATTGTATCGGTGGCAGCAGGAGGTCGAGAAACAGGATTTGTTGGTAATGGTGATGGAGATTGTTGTTTAGTCACATCTTTTGAAATTTTAAATGAAGGTTTTGTATATTCACGAATAATTTGTTTAAATGTCTTTAAATACTTATGAAACGTTCTTTTATTAGATTTATAACCCAAAGTATATATGTGTGTACATATATATATATATATATATTTGAATTCTTACTAATGCTTCTTTAGTTCTTAAAGGTTGTCTGATTATCACCCTAAAGGTAGGTCGCGAGGTATGAAAAGTACGAATTAATATAGAAGTAGTGCTCTAATATTTTTTTTTTCAATAAACTTAAATAAGTTCAAAATTGATATATATATAACTTTGCTAATTCATTAAAAAAAATTTTTTTCACCACTTTAAAATAATTGATATTAATTGCTTTCAACATCCTTTTCCAATTGTCTATTTATTTTCTCAATTAGCTTTATAATCATGTGATTTTGTTACTAATAACGCATGAAAATCTTTCTAAATTTGTTAGAAGTCCCGTGAAAAATGCGAAGAAATTGATTTTTATTACGATAACTAGATAGAGTAGCGAGTAATAATCACCACCACCACCTTTTTTAATATAGAGGAAAAAAAACAAATATGTATAATTCTAATTTTTATAAATAAATATATATATATAAATACATATATATATAAAGGAAACGAATATATACTGTATATAATAAAAAATATACAAAAAAATATACTTGGTTTTATATAACAATACTAATAATACCCGTTATCAAAAACACCACGTTTATTATCAGTACTGATACTACTACTACTATTGTTGTTATTTACACTACTGCTGCCAATATTATCATCAAGATTGCTATTATCATTGTTATTACCAACAATACTATTATCATGTATGTAGTTTACTGATCTATTAGTTCTGTAGTATGTAGCAGCTGAAAATGTAATTGTATCTCCTTGGTTGTCATGATAACTACGATTGTTGTACCTATAATAAAAGGATCCACCCTCGGCATAATTATGGAAGTGGGTATGTGCAAATCTAAATTAAAATTAATTGTAGTTTGGAACTCATCCATTCTTCGAAATAAGCTGTATTTTTATTTGTATGATCGGAACCTCCCACAAAACGGATAATTCTGGATTTGAACAACACTTTAATCGTTAATAAGTTATATTTAATAAATAAATTTATACGCATAAGGTAGGTATGTACAGAGAAAAGAATAAACATCTTTCCAAAGTGAGGGAGGAACTTCAAGCGAGACATTATTTTTAAATGAAGGGAAATAGCGGAAAACTACACTTAAAAATAAACTTCACTTGAAGCGGAGGACTACACTTACCTCTTACAACTTCGAAATTGTCTTCCATAAAATTTTTTTCAAGTTACACGGATATGACTTGAATTTAAGATCTCCATCACAACTTTTTTCTGCACAAGTATTATCAAGAAAAATACATTTTTTACAAAGTAAACTCAATCATGTCTCAAAGGAGTTATATACCCCGAACTCAAACTCCGAAATGTAACAAACGTGATTATCATTTATTTATTTATCATCTGTTTTAGTGTACTGTACGTATACATTTTTTTTAAAATAAGATCGTCATAAATAACAATATCGTTTTTTCCTTTAAAATAACATGCCACAATCATAATTACTCTTAATTCCACCCAATTATTCAAAAAACGAAAATGATATGTTTGTAAAACTAAAGCTAAAGCTAATATACATTTATATAAGAAAGGTTCATAGTTTTTTATGCAAACAAAATTTCCTTATTTGTATTAGGTAATAAACTGAACACATGCATGACTTTTCATTACACAGACTTTTCATCAAATTCTTAATTTAACGTTAACGTTAAATAATTTTATCAAACAAACAAACCAAACCACGGGTTTAAATTTATAATTTCCATCAAAACCTTAAATATCTTTTTTTATTAAATAAACAGATAATAATAACGAGAATACAAAAAGAAAATCTTTTACTTAAATATTGGATTATTATTTTATTTTTTTTTTTGAGCAATAATTTTATAAATTATCCAACATGATTTTTGTTCTTCAACTTCATTGACAAATTTTGTTAACAAATCAGAATATTCTTCATCAGAGAGATTCAATGCACACTTCAAAGCTGAAGAATAATCTTTAAGAATCATCTCCCATTGCATAATTGTCTAAAAGACGTGAGACGTGATGATGATAATGATAATGATAATGATAATAGATCAGTATTACCCAGACTACGAAATAGAATTAGAAAAAGAACATTATTTACTTACCATTTTACCAAGAACGCCTCCCCATTTACCAATTGGATATTTATGTTCTATGAACTTGAAATTGGTCAAATCCTTGTGCGATTCAATAAATTTGGTAAGAAATGAACTTGGGCAAGGATTGAATCCTCCTCTAACAAGAGTATCATGTGCTATAAATTTACAAATTTATAAATAAATAAGTAAATTGGAAAAATAAAATAAATATATAAAATATAAAAAATTTATAACGAATGAGTGAACTTACTGGCTTTTTGAATTTTTTTATAAGCTTCTCCAGAATTGATAAGTTCTTGGTCAAAATCCTGATAATTAAAACGAACAAGCAAATATTATATAAAAAGCATATATTAATATGCATTTGATAAAAAGATATCAAAATAAATACCGTGAATTCAATCCAACCACCGGGTTTAAGGACCCTGATATAATCGTTTATAACTTGTTCTTTTAATTGTTGTTCAGTAAATGAAGCGCTTGATCTAAATCTTTGATGAACAAGATCAAAAGTATTTTCATTATATGGCAATCCCTTTAGAACGGCTTTAACTTCGTCGAATGTTGCAGTTGAGAGATCAGTGGGAAATTCAGGTATGTTAATGGTCGTGACATCGGCTGAAGGATGTTCTTTTTTTATATGTGCTGTCCATAGATCTCCCATAGTCCTAATTATTGAATCAAATGAATTAATTTATTAAGAATTTTTTTCTGCGCTTTACTAATTTATTAATTATTGATCAGAAACTATTAATTACCCAATATCAAGAATTTTTGCGCCATCCAAAGCTGATTCATCAATAGAAGAGGAATAACTTTGCCAAAAATATTGGTGAAGATTAAATTGTCTATCTATCTTACTCAGATTAGGATCATCAATCAATGGATATTTTGGATTATCAATAGTAAGGATTACCTAAAATATGTTTATTTTATTATTAAATTTAATAATATGAATGATGATGATGATATTAATATTAATAATAAAAATAATAATTACGTTTGACATATATAGTTTATTAATTTTTTTCTCTTTAACAATTAGAAGTATTTTTTAAGTATTTTTAAGTATTTTTATCTTGACATTTTACATAGACATTATATATTAAATATTTTTGATTAGAAAAATGAATTCATAATTGTTATTATCGTTATGATTGTCATTATCGTTATAATTGTCATTATTGAATGAGTGATTATAATCGTTGTAATGAACATATCATTTTATTATCGTAATGATATAATAATAATATAATTTACGCAAATGGAAAGTAAAGGACCAAATTTAATATTAACGTTCACAATTACTTTTTGTGGCGCCAAAATAAATCATTTATTTTTATTATTATCATTTTTATTATTATTTTTATTATATAAACAAATACAGATCATTCTATTTTCAGAGTTACGAGGTAAAAATAATAAGTAAAAGTTACACGCCAACATATTAAAAATATTAATGATGGTAGTGCTAACGGGTAATCATCATCGATAAATTTTTTTCCAAATAATATTAATATATTTACAAAATTATTAGATGCACTTTTGAAATTCTAGAATACAATAAGAAAGAAATCAGCCATTAAAGATTGTAATGAGCTATTCTCATCAAGTATTTACTAAGTACTTTACTGTCTTTCATGGGAAATTGAACCTCATTCCGAACCTATGGAATTACGTGAAATCATCAAATAATGTAGAGATCAACTCTATATTGTAAATAAAAAATTTGATGGAATAATCAATAAGATAGAGCCAAGAAAAAGCCAATTTAAAAATAAATCAAACAAATCTATTAGTGATCTTGTTTTGTCATTTAGCGAAATGGCTATTAAAATTCATGAATTACTTGAAAGTGAAAGGGTATTTTTGCCTCCACAATCAAAAATTTCTATCAATGAAAATTAATCCCAGAAGAAACATCAGAAATAATATAACAGTGGGTAAGGGAATGAAGAAAGAGATGGAAATTGAAGGTGATAAACATAATGAAACAGAGATATCAATATTAATAATGATACTATTTTAATTGATAATAATTATCAAAAAAGTAGTAATAGTGAAAATTAGATTTTTGTCAGACTCATGACAACTTCGGGTCTAAGTATTTCCAAGTGCTCTGTTGAACATATAAAATATACTGAATTTATTTTTGAGCACAAATCTGTCCTCCTACAAAGTAGAGTTTTTTCAAGATGGAAAGAATATTTAAAAAAATTATATATATATACATATTATTATGTGATTTAGTGCAAATCAACAAATATTTGAATATAAATGTATTCGCGAATATTCGAATATTAATATATTTCGTAATTATTTTGGTACTTAATAATCATTTAGATTTTCGTGATTTTGATACTCGTAATTATCTTTGATATTTGTAATATTCAAATATTCAATAGTAATAGTAATGATTTATAATATATTTTGTTTATTTGACTATGATCGTTAGTTAATTTTGCAAATTATATTAGCGATATAACAATAATTATTATTTTATAGATAAATATATAATTGTTTGAAGTATTATGAGTATTCGTAATAATAAGGTTATTCATAATTACTAAGAGTACTCGTAATAAATAAGAGTATTCGTAACAAAATAAGGGTATTCGTAATTATCACGAGTTATTTGAATAATAACAATAAATGGTATTCGTAATATCAGTTAAATATTCGAAATTCGAAATTTTTTGATTAGTATTATTATTATTAGTATTAAGGGGTTACTACTCAAATGTTCGAAACCTTAAACATTGACCATTTTTTCTTTGATTATTCTCTTCAGTTGTTCCCTATAATGTGCGTTATACCGTGATCCCGATACCTGTTGTGACTGTTGATAATCCACAACCAAGATTCGTATTTGTGCATCCAGGTTATGGTATTTAATGCTGGTACGAACTCGAACAAAATTATACTACTGTTGTAAATGATAACGAAATGTGGCGGTTTGATGCTGAAATTTGCCCATGTAGTAGTACATATGTAAACTCGATAAGTCGGTCATGTGAGGGTGAGCTCATATGACCGACTTATCGAGTAAACCGACTTATCGAGTGACCGACTTATCGAGTTTACATATGTAGCAACAAAGGAAACGCTTTGAAGTGTAATCCTACATTTCGTGGAAAAGATAATGTGCCTTTTTTAAGAACTGGTGGATTGTTAATTGTAGTAAATAGGGGTATAAAACTCGCTTTGGGGGGTCTTTTAGTAAAAAAATATTACCTTGATTTAATTATTATTTTAATTAAAAATATTATCTTGGTTTGATTATTATTTATTAAAAAAAATCCTGTGCGGAAAACATATTGAAAATACTAACAATACTATTAATACTAGTGTTTTATATACTAGAATATACTAAAAACATATTAATAGTGGATATGTGGGGAAAATGCATTCTATGTTTCCCGCTATAAAATAAATAATAATAATAATAATAATAATGGATTACATATGGAATTTGTATTTCCCGTGTGTTTCTTGTAAAGTTCAATGTTTTCAATATAAAAACATACGGAAAGGCTCAGTGCATTTTCTGTATTAGTGTAGTGGTAAAAACTGAAAGCATACTAATATTAATACCGTTTTCCGTAAATTTTTTTATAGAGATGAATGCATATACAGTACTTTTTTTTAATGACCGGCTCATGTTCTTCTAATTCATTTTTAGTTTCCTCCGGTTCTTTTCTTCTTCTTCATCCAATAAAATAATTTGTGTGACATAAAGGTTTCCCAAATATGAAAATATGACGAGTAATAATAATAAATGGAGAATAGATTTTACAAATCTTTCGGATCAAGCAAAGGTAAACTCTATATATATAATATTTACAAGTTATTAATTCAATAAATTTTTTTAAATTTAGACGACATGAAGTCAGAGGACAAGTGTTGGTGATTGATCCACCACCACCAGGTTTCGTACTTTCAAATTCCATTTCAACTAGTTCTAAAGGAAATTTGGTTTGTATGAATTTGATATACATATATAAAGATTTCAAAACATCTTTTAAAATTAATAGCATCATATATTTATTATATACTGTATATAGAAAACTAAAAAAAATGGACAAGTTTTTCAACGGAAAAAGATTAAGAACAATTAAAAATAAAAGTATTGTTATCATCAACAATTTATAATTGTTGAACATTATTATTTTCAAAACATAATGATATTCATATTTGTATTGTTATTAGAAAGCCTGGGATGCAGCTTTGTCACCAGGAAAAAATATACCAATGAATGTATTATTTATGTTATGAATGAGTGGAAATGGAGTACAGATATTTAGTGTTATGGTTACAGGAATGTTACTTTTCCAACCAATAAAATCATTGATGAGCATTGATAGTGGTAAATTAATAATAATAATAAAAAATCCTTAGGGAGTATTAATGATTCATTATCATCTTTATTATCTTTAATTATCTAGTATTTGAAAGATATGAATCATCAAAAACCAAACCTTCTTTATTATGGCCCAAATTATTATATGTATTTTTTCAATTTCTTATAATGTCTCTTGGATTATATAAATGTTCATCTATGGGCTTATTGCCAACTGCTACTTCAGATTGGTTAGCATTCATGGAGCCTAAACCGGTAAAAAATTTATTATCAAATTTAATTAATAATTATAATTATATTCCAAGTTCTTTTTTTTCTCTCTCATAATATAAGATATACTCTTAGATCCTAGAATACTCTGAAATATAATTTTTACAAAAGAAATAAAATATTTTATTTAATAATTAACATATAATATAAACGCAAATAACAAATGCATATAAACAGATATATTATAAAAACTAACGAAATAAGAATATTAACAATTTAAATAAAAATTGAATATTAATCAAAGTTCTATTCCAACGAGAATATACTCTTCGGAATTATGGTCAAAAGTTTTGGGGGCGATTAGCTCAAATCCAATGTATAAGAAACTGTGTAAAAACGGTTCTAAAAATTCATACATGTATTAAGATTTAATTAGATTGAACATGATAATAACAAATAATAGTGATGTTTATGCTTATACTTACTCAGACAAGGACTTCCTTTGTGAAGACATACTACCAGGTGATGGCATTTTAGACATTCTTCGGCGAGCTCAAGAATGGCGACGATACTATCCAATAATAGTAACAATTGAAAAAAAACAAAGTAGCAAGTGCAAATCCATATATTTTGAAGTGCAAGTAATCCAAATAAAATAAAATTTAAAGAAAAGTTAGAACAAAATATGGGTTACAATAACCTCCACTATCCTTGACTCAAATATTACTTCAATATTATATATATATATATATATATATAATATGTATAATAAATATACATGTATAAATATTAATTTTTTTCTAGATCCAGTTCCAAAAAAAAATATATATCTCATGAAATTAATATTTGGCAAAAAAATAGGAAATTTTATGATAACCAACATATCTTATATAGATAGAAACCCCCCCAAAAAAATTTACATTAAACCAAATACCTTTCTTTCAAATCAATAGATTCTAAATTATTGCCCTTTAAGAAAAGGACGTCATTTTTAAGAATCCCTTCGTATTCTTTTTGATGTCCTGATATTAAAACTAGACGCAGATCGAGATCTGCAATATAATTATTTTTAAAGACATCTCCAAAAACATTTTTTTTATTTTCTAAAAGCGAGAGGCCTTCTTCCAAAAGGCTTTCTAATACTGAAACACTGCCACTATTCCGGTATAGAAAGCCTTCTTCTCCAAAGTTCAGTAATGATTGTTTGGGGGTGTCCTAAGGAATAAAATAAAATTATTAAAGTTAAATTATTTAAATTATTGATGATTGAATAGAATATGAATTTATTCTAGCTTCAATACTTACAAAAACACCACCCGGCTTTCTTACCCACTTGATTTTTTCGAAAATAAAAACATTTATATTAATATTAATAATATAATTATCATTAATCAAACATAAATAATAAACTTACAAGTAGAGTAATAATAAAATTGTTGTTGGTTGACAGTATTATTGGTTAAACAGATAGCTAAAAGTTGTTGTTGTTGTTGAGATTGTTGAGATTTTGTTAAGGAGAGGTTATTATTATTATTACTACTTATACCCTCTAGTGGGAGCATTTCTAGATTACTACTACTCATCATTTTTATTATTTTATTATTTTATTATTTTTATTATTTTTATTATTTTTTATTATTTTTATTATTTTTATTACTTTTATTATTGTTGTTGTTGTTATTTAGTGTTGAAAAAACGGTTTTATTAGAAAGAAAATTTTAATTGATAATATTAAAAACGAAAATGTAAAAATATGGGGAATAAAAAGAATATCGATTATTTTGGTTTTGGTTTAGATACTTTATATATATTAGTGTGTATTAAAAATATTTTAAGACTTTTTATTTCCTAAGAAACTATTGAGTTAGTGTAACGTTTGATAAAGACATGAGCCTCAATTTTTGGAATTAAAGGTGAAGTTTTAAATAAAAATAGCATTTATTTATATTTATAAAAAATTTGATTATTTGTATACACCATCATCGTTAGACAATCCAACTTTACAGAAACATTATGCAATATTATTGGTCGAATTATCTAGTTTTATTTAATCAACGATTCAATTGGATGTAATGATATTTAAGGTGAAGAATTACTATTACGAGATATCAATATGTCACTAATTTAGCCTGAAACAGAAACTTGCAAATTTTAAATTGTATATAAAGCAATGATCAAGAAAATAAATAGAATTAGTTGATTGATTATTAAATAATATAATGCATTGATAATTTATTTAGTACATAAAAAAAAAATAATAATCCAAAACGTTATTTATGAAACACCTCAAATACACAAAAATGTTATATAGATTCTAGGTTTATAACATTTTACAGAAAAAGAGTGAGACTGTAAAAATTTTTTTTGATGGAGGATCCGAATTATCGAATTGGATTTGTTTTGCTACAAGAAGATAAAGAAAAATGATGGTTATCACTAATTATCCGTTATGATGATGGCAATGTAGGAAATGGGATAACAAAACTTTAGAGTCACTTTATTTAGCTGTAAATTGTTCATCTAAATGACATCTATCCATTCACATTGAGATTCACATTAAAAAAATTAAAAAATTTGTATCAATAAGTTCCTATTGTAAGTGATCGAACCTTTATTTTGCATATAACTATACCTGATACTATTATTTATAAATAGTTTTAATATAACACACCTTAGTAATGACACTATTACAGGTGATACAGCAATTGTTAAGATATAATTATTAGATGATATAATGAATAATTTATAATTGTTTTCGGATGAGTATCATCAAAAACTATATCGACTTATGTCATTGGAGAAACGGCTTGTTATTTTCAAAGTTGAACGATATTGGTACAAGATTAAATCATGAAAATTATATTTATAAAACAACAAAAATTTTTCGCTTATAATAACATTGATAACTAATTACTTTATTTTTGAACAAAAAATGATTGTTGAAAAGGATGATTTGGTATAGATGATGATGAATATTATAATGGCTATATCTAACTAGTTTGTTCTTGGCAGGTCATAAAACCATGAGTATAGTAAAAAAAAAAAAATATATTTTTTTAATAAATTTATAATAAAATTATATAATTACAAAATAATAAAGATTGTTTTATAAAATGAAGGATGAAATTATGTGAATGAATGAATAATTAAATAAATAAATATTTTCTATAAAAATTCTTACGTACTTTTCTTTTTCTTTTTACCAGAATCTTCACTTTTTTTACGTCTTTTAATATTTTGATCTAAATAATTGACAAAAAAAATTTTCAATAATTATTAATAATAACATTGATAATATTTTAAAAAATATATATTTTACCTTGCATAGTAACAGATGATTCTGCACCAATTTGTGAAGGCTATAAATAAAGAAAATTCAAAAACATTATAATTTTTTCAATTAAAGAAAGAAACATATTTTAACCATAATTACCAACAAATAAACTTACAGATATTAAAGTGGGACTAGTCATTAAAATGTTTGGTTCATTTTTCGATATTATGTTATTATCTTGTAATGTAGGTGGTGGTGATGGTGGCCTATTCAGTAATTCATCAACATGACGTAATTGCCGCTCCGTGTTTACATTAATATGTTTTAAAACTCTATCTACTCCCATACGAAATTCTATTTGTTCTAATGGTTCTTGATGAATGATTCGTGATTCTAGAAAGAGAAATGTTGAAAATGTGTTATATAAATTTTTTTTTGTTTTGTGAAATGGCAAAACAAAAGAAATCACTCAAATTACTTTTTGTGTTGTCATTAATAATATTTTGATTTAATTCATTGTTATTATCACCATCACTACTTATTGTTGATGGTGATGATATTGACGATGATGTTGTTGCCCCGGCAGCAGCAGTAGCAGCGGTTGTTTTTGTCACTTCTGCCGCTGATGATTTTGTCGATTTTGTTGATGATGCTGTTGGCCTCCAAGAATAACCTGTTGCAGGATGAAAATCTACATGTTTGTATGCTGTATTAAAGGCTAAACTTAATTGATAAATGCTTGTTAACTTTTCCAGGAAAAAAAAAATAATAATGTGAGTTCAAATTAAAAAAATAAATAGTAGTAATCTCATTGCGTGAAAACCTTATTTATACTAAAACTTACAATTCTATTGCCAATAATGGAATCTAAATCTGGTGCTTGGTAAATGTTGAAATTTAATACATAATAAGTAGCTACTGGTCTCACTTTGTATAAAAAAAAAGATCCAAATTTGAATTGAAGAGACAAATTAGAATTATTGAATTCTTGACCGAATTATTAATGGGGTTATATGATATTTGTGAACAAAAAATGAACTTCATAATGGTAATAAAGTTCTTCAAGAAAAAGGTGGCAATAATTATGTTACAAGAAAGGATTTTAAAATTATCATCATCACACACTATTTATTTATTTACTTACCTTCAAATTCTGTTAACCTATATTGTTTTCTAATCACCCATAAATATGGTGGTTTTTCATCTACAACTTGAAATTCATTTCCTTTCATTTTTCTACATTACAAAACCATCAATTAAACACATACTCTTCCGATATATGCCTTGTATGAATTAAAGGCCAATTTACCTTAGATTAGAAGTAATATCTTTCAATTCATTATAACGAGTTTGCATTTTCAAAATATTGTTGCTACATTGTGGATCCCAGAATGGGGATTCAGCAAAATAATCTAATACGTTATTTGAATTCAACCCATCTGGTTGCTAAACAAGCAAGATTGTTGATCCATATAGATATCAGGAATAAATTGGAAAATAGCTTAAATTAGTGTAGTTTAAAGTAAAAAAAATACCATTTGTATCCATTCAACACTTCTCCAAGTAATAGTTGTCAAATCAGGTTCAGTCATTATTATTGAAAAATCCAACTATTAAAGCAATCACGAGAAGTTTATACGTTATACAAAGGCATTTCCAAATTTGGGAGCCCATGTAGATTATGCGAAAGAAGACTTTTGAAGCTAAACAGATAATGAATGATAATAAATGAATAAATGAAATTTTACAATTGATAATAAATTTTTAATATAGATCTATATGTATTAAAAAATATTAATTGCTTGAGTTTAGTCGACGGATGTAAGTATAATGTATGTTTCAAGAAAAGACCAAGAAAAACACCAAAAAAAGAAATGTGAATAGAGACAAGTTTTATTTATTCATTTTCACTATAAATAACTCACTATAGATAGATTAGGGATGATAAGTTTTTATAGATTGATTGTATTATATAGATATTGTTTCAATTATACAACATTATAAATTCTTTATCTTATTATTACTTCTATAATGATTCAATTCGCAATTGAATATTTCAGTTATTTTTGAAAACGATTCAAACCTATCATCATTTTTTAATAATAACCTTTTTACTTTGACTGGAATGTCATCATCTTTAAGATGTTTAATTTTGTTAAATTTCAATATGATTGCCATCGTTTTATGGAATTTATACTCTTTTAGTTTTAACCAAAATATTTTAAGAGTATTTTCGTCAAGTTTTTCATAATTAAATAATTGTTTAATACTAAATTTCGAATTGATCAAATCACTTTCAAGTATTCTACATTCTTCACATTCACCGTCTAGATCTGATAATTCACCGTAAAATAATTCTTTGATTTCATTGTCATGTCTATTTTTTAAACTGTGATTATGATTCTGATTTTCCTATAAAAGAAAAAAAATTTTTTACAATAATAATGATAAAATAAAAAAATATATTAGCTTAAAATTCTTATGTATATATATTTATTTATTTAAATTATTTGTTTTTGTTACCACTTTCATTTTATCTACAAGAAATTTTAATATTTTTAATACAGAGGTTGTGAAAAGAAAATTTTTTTTACAGGGCCCCGGAAATTCGAACCAAATTTGTCATTTTTTTTATCAACAATCCTTTAAAGCGTATTAATAATGTCGTCAACAAAAAGAACAAAGGTAATTGTTTCATAACTAAATTTTTAATTTTTCAAATTTACTACTTTAAAAACTATTTAACCCTTTTTTTATATACATATTTGTATACATGTACATATTTATTTAAAAGCTACTTTTTTATTATTATTATATATATTATTTACTTGGATCATATATAAACAAATAACAATACATAGGGAATAACAATAGTACGACCAATAGTGTATGGTAATGTCGCAACTCTATTACCACAAAAAAAAGCACCAGAATCTGATCATACTCATAAATGGACAGTTTCTGTAAGTGGAATAAATGGTGAAGACATTAGTTACTTTGTTAAACGTGTCACTTTTAAACTTCATGAAACTTATCCTAACTCATCAAGAGGTAGATGGCTTATTAATTATATATAAATAATTAAAAAAATAAAAGGATTTATATTTATATTGATTTTCACTTTATAGTTGTTGAGAATCCTCCTTTTGAAATTACGGAAACTGGATGGGGTGAATTTGAATTATCGATAAAATTACAATTTGTGCCAGAAAGCGGTGAAAAACATGTAACATTGTATCATAATTTACGACTTCATCCTTATGAAGAAGATGGATCAATATCAACTGCTAATAAAAATAAACCTGTACAAAGTTTTTTATATGACGAATTGGTAAATAAATGGAATTTTTATTGATCTTTGTTTATAATAGTATGTATAATATTTTGTAAATAATGTATAATCATATATGATGTAGGTTTTTACTGATCCAACGGAAGCAATGTATCAAATATTAACATCTCATCCATATTCTAGTCTTCCAGCAAAATCCACACCTAATTCTTTATATAGTTGGTTAATTTATATCACTTTATATAAATATATTCTTTGATTTTTATTTATACATTTGCATATATGTATGTATATATAGGTCTTCAAGCAGAACAAGAAGAAATAAGTAAAATTGAAGATGCATATAAAAAGGTTCAAGAACAAATCCAAACTCATAGGTCTAAATTAGATTCCACCACAAAAGAATTAGATGAAATCAAGTCAGCATTAGAACGTCTTAAAAAATAAAAAAATGTTAATGATTGATGATCTAAACTTGATCAAAAAAGTTAATTAGAAATAAATGTATATATTAAATTACCAAATGTGATTTAGCATAAAGCTCATAAATATTCTTGCTTTAATTTTTTTTTTTTACATATACATATTATTATCTTTTATGAATGTTTATAAAAGATAACAATTGTACATATATATATATATATATATACTTACTACTGGAGAGCTAAATTTAATTGATCCGGTGGCTGTGAACACGTTTGTGTTCCACAATAAAATTTCACTGCCACGCACGAACTTATCCAAATATCGGATGATCTGGGTCAATGACACTGCCAAATCTAAATCATATTAATATTTTGCAATAAAATGTTATTTTACCTTGGTGGTTCTATTATTGGATTAGTGCCTAACAAAATCTAAATCACAACGGAACAGTCTGCATCTTCGGAAACTCCAACGGAACTTGGAATACAATACTAGTCCACTTTTCTAATACGCAGTGCCTGATTATCTCGGATAGAGTCAGTCCTATATCCTCCTTAAAATTTTCTTGCCTCCATTGATTATACAGATTAGGAATTAATTTATCTATATGATAGTTTCAATGCACAAGGAAAATTTGAAGTAATAACCTTTTTTATTATCTTAATGAAAAAAGAAATTCTTACAGATATAAATATATTATTGTTGTTGCTAATCCCAACTTCTGGTAATTTAACAATGAATAATTTTATTATATAGTAATATTCCTATTCTTAATATGACAAGTCTGAATTCAAAAATGCATGGGATACGAATCTTATTAACCCTGAAATTTAGGAAGGAGGGTATTAATATATTTATCAACCAAGAGATCGGTACTTTTAATAGTTTTTTCTCAGAACACCAAATAAAGTTTTTTTACCTTCAAACTAACTAAACCTTTTATTTTATTGCTAATTTAGATTTTTTTCTCTTGTGTAGATTTCTTTTTTGGCGTAATTTTTTTCTTTGAAAAAAAACTTTAACCCTTATTTTGAAATTCTATTTTATATATAAAGATTTGCACATTTTATATAATCCCATTCACACACTATTATTGTTTTTTTTTTTTGATAATTACACAATTCAAAAAAAAATTTCATATATAAATACCTTTTTTATTCCACTTGGTCGCCACAGTGTTGCGGTGACAACTCTGCAAAAAAAAAAATTTTTTTTTTTAAAATTAAAAAAAACACAAGATAATTTAATTTTTTTAATAAACGAACGATTTCTAAATATAATAATAATAATAAATATAATCATATAATCATATAATATAATAATAATAATAATAATAATAATAATAATAATAATAATAATAATAATAATAATAATAATATAATAGAATATCGATTATGGCTGTAGATAGATTGGAAATTTCAATTACAAAATTACAATGGGGATTAAGAGGAGCTCAAATATTTTGTGCTTTTATTGCAATAGCATGTCTCGCAGCAGTTATTTCATTTGATAACAAGACAACATCCAGTACTATAATAGATAATATTTTTATTTTCTTTGTGGCCCTTTCAGTTATTATGTCAGCTGCAATAGTCGGTATTCCTTATACTTATTTACAATATGGTAAATTTCAAAGTTTGGCAAGAGCTTTAAGGGTCATTAGAATAGAGTTCGTGCTTACGGCAATGTGGTCTGTGCTTGTATTTTTGGTAACGATCGCACTGAGTATAGAATTGGGTTTGAGAAATTGTGATTCGAGCTCGGATACGGCTGCCTTTGAAAGAGCTAAAAACAAAACAGGAAGTCTTTTTACCAATGGATTGGCCGGAAATTGTAGAACTGCACGAGCCGGAAATGCCTTCGGTTGGTTTGCTTTGGCGGGTTGGCTAGGTTCGTTGGCTTTGATCGGTAAGGAATGGTATGATAATAGACGTCAACCATTACCAAAGCATGATCCCCATACAGATGAAGCAAACGTGAATTCCTCAAAATCATCTTTGGACACTGATGTTGCTGGTACTAATAATCCACCACAAGGAGAAAATGTTCAAATGCAAAATATTCATACTTTTGCTGCTAGTTCATCTCAATCTCATTTGCCAACTCAACAACCTCAAACACAATTTCAACAGCCTCAAACACCAATTCAACAACCTCAAACACCAATTCAACAACCTCAAACACCAATTCAACAACCCCAAGCACAATTTCAACAGCCTCAAGCACAATTTCAACAGCCTCAAGCACCAATTCAACAACCTCAAACACAATTTCAGCAGCCTCAAGTACCAATTCAACAACCTCAAACACAATTTCAACAGCCTCAAGCACCATATCCACAAACTCAAGGACCATATCCACAAACTCAAGGACCATATCCACAAACTCAAGGACCGTACCCACAAACTCAAGGACCATATCCACAAACTCAAGGACCGTACCCACAAACTCAACCATCATTTCAACAACCTCAAGTTTCTCCGGTTCCAGCAAATCCTCAAGCAACGCCTAGTCCCAACATCGAATTCCCACAACCTCAATTTTTTCCACAGTAATTAAAAATTAGTTGATGGTTTGTTTCTTTCTTATTTAATTATAGATAGTATATACATTTTGTTTATGTATAATATTTATATTGTGGGATTGTATTGAGATTGTATTTATCTTGTATTATTTTTATTTTGAACGATGTTATGATTTAAAAGAAAAAACTTTTCTATAATAATAAAATTATATATATATAAACATTAAAAGAGAAGTTCATATAAATACATATCGGAGCGGATTCTAATTTGGGATGCAATAATGACACTTGGGAAAAGTATGGATTGGTTTTCTATCATTTATTATTTATTATAAAGCAGCAACAATTTGAATGATATAATATAATACATCTTTATATATATATATATATACCTTATTAAAGACATAAAAAATAGTAAATGAATCCACCATTAGATATATATATATGCGCTAAATAATAATTTTTTTTTTTAAAAAAAAATATCAGTCCAACAAAATCAGTCAAAAAATAATAACAGCTTTAGAAAAATAAAAATAAAGTAAAGTCAGTATAATCGATGTTTTTTCCATTTAAATTCTGATGTAACATCGACTAAGGAATTTGTATCATTTTTGTTATTGTTGTTGTTATTATTATTATTAAGATACTTGACAAAACCACCATTGTTACCTCCGCCTCCACCATCATCAGTGTATTCATTATCAGAAGTTAAATCAATTATTAAAACTTCGGCAGATTGATTAAAAACATCCCGTGAATGTTGTTGACAATTATGTTGATGATTATGATGATGATTACAGTTATCGTTCAATCTAGCAGGTGGTAATGAATATGAAGAAAAAGGCGGTGACGATGTATAAATGTTATTAAATTGTTGAGAAGGATTGGATGATGTGCTAATCATCCTCATTTCTGGTCGTGGCCATGTATTAGAATGTTGAGTAATTGGATGTTGGGTAGATTGTGGATTACCATAAATTTGATAATTGAACGTATGATCAGGTTCAAAGGATTGATGGTTGCCGTAATTAAAAACAGAAGGATAGCTATTATTTGTTGAATTGTATACATTAACGTTCATTGATCGTGGTTGTGGAGGTGGTGGTAATCTAGTGTTATTATGTAAGGCATCGTGCTGATTAATGTATGGTGAGTGACTATTAGAACCGAGTATTATTATATCTAAATTATTATCAATCATTGAATCAACATTCATTGCAAAGTTATTTGAGCCTAGAATGTTTGGGCTATAGGTGAAGATATTGTTGTTGATCGTTGAGGGGTCGTCCGATAGTAGATGTCTTTTTTCATAGCTATTTAAAGATGGATTAGAATTGTTGTTTGTTGGACGCGTGTAAGAATAACTATCATTATTATTGTTATTATTATAATTGTTGATACTATAATTATCACTAATACCATCGTCATTATTATTACTAGTGTTATTAGCATTAAAATTGTTATTGGTATCACTATTGGTTTGTTCTGTGTAAAATTTATTTTGTCTAAATATTTTAGAAAAGATTTGACTATTGTGATTGGTGGTGTTTAGTTGATCTTGTATGGGAGGACTTGGAGGGGTGCTATAAGATTTTTCACCGGTGTCAACAGTAAGCCTTGATGACGAAGAAGAAATTGACGCTGAATCGTTAACAACAATTATTTCATAACAGGATCTTTGTGAGGTTGTTGCTGATTTTTTATTTTCACTAAACGCTGACTCATATAAAGCAGAAATTTCCAACTTCTCCATATCTTTCACATCTTTCTTTTCTCCCTCTTCCAAGTGTTCAGAATATTCAGAATGTGATTGTTTAAAATGTTTACTGAATCTAGGTGTTCTGAGGCCCTTTTTACTAGTAGATATTCCAGCAAAAGCTTTTTTGTTAGTGGTGTGTTTTGACTTTTTATTGTAATTTTTTTTATCAACACCAACGCCAACACCATCTATAGTATTAGAATTAGAATAAGAAGCATTATCATCATCATCATTATTATTCAAAATTTTATCAGATTTTAATTTTCTTAATTTTTTTGGTGGAGCTTTTTCATCATCAATAGTGTTATTCGTGATGTCGTTTTTGGTTTTGGTTTCTTCAAAAAAACGTTTAAGTTTTTTTGTGTTGTGAATTACAGAAACCATTTTTAAACGTTGTTGGTGTTGTTGTTTTTGGTGAGAATTAGTTGTTGATGGCGATGATGAGATGCTAATGGTCTTGCGATCTTTAATATTTCTTTTCTTGTGTTTATTGTATTTATTATGTTTATTTCCTGGAAGTGATTTTAAAAAGTCAACTTCAGAGAATATAAGATCTCGCACTATACAAAAAAGAAATAATTAATAATAAATGAATACGGAGCTTATCAAAGTATTAATAGTAATAATAATAGCAATGGTAATGATCATCACCTCCTTTCACTTGAACTTCAACAGAAGCCTTGCTTTTTTGGAAAAGATAAGGTTCTCTTTTCAACTGCTTTTTCTAAAAAAATATACAACTGGAATTAATTACACACACACACACACACACACACACACACATAAACGCGTAAAGAATAATGATTCGTACTTTTCGCGGAACCTCTATTTTTGTCAGACCATCAGTGCAAGAGCTTGCTGAAGAGCCAGCTATTAAATGTACATTTATAATTATATTAATTATCATATTAAATTCATTTTCAAATCGTCGTTATTATTATGCTGATGAGTACCTTCATCAATTGAAGCGGTTCTAATAGCTTCCAATTGGTCTTCAAGATATTTTTCAAGAAACTCGCGTTTTCTATTATTCTGTAAACTTTTAGTGTGTTTACTAAGGTTTTTTTTGGTAAGCATTGCAGGAATCATTTTAAAATTAATGAAAAGTTGAAGATTATAATATGAAAAAAAATTTATTGATTTTGATTGGCATGACCCTGTTGTAATGTGAATTTATGTTAGTGTGTGAATTTGAAATTAGCCAATTAAAAAGCCTAATATATTATTACACAATTTTATGATTTGTTCCATTTCAACATAAATGTAATTCTCATAAAAAAAGAAGATACGCAGTGATGTGCATCGGAAGCTCCCCAACGACCTTTCATTGGGATTAGAAGTTCCAGTGGAAGGTTTGGAAGCCTTTCCAATTGTTTATTGGACTTTGAACATTACAGCCAATAAAATTCAAGAATTAAATTTTTTAATTACGACTATTTTTCAAAATGGGGAATTTTTATTATTGTATAATAATTAGCTATTGCCGATTGCAGAAAAGTCTTTTATCCCCACGGATTTTACCAAATTAGTTTTTTTGGGAAGCATGAAATGTAAAAAAAAACAGCGTGCAACATTGAATTGACATGGGTAATTAATTAAATTGGGGAAATAAAAAAATAATTATTTATTTCTCAAAACCACCACCTGACAAAGATATATTAAAGTATTACGAAATAAATGCAATACATACAAAGAACCGCATAAACATTACAAACAAAAAAAGCCACAAGTTAAGAATCATTTAAAAAGTCGCGTTCTTCCAATGCAGTTATTGGTCCTCAATTTATCCCGTAACTAATTGTGATTGGACAACAGTATCAATGACATAAAAGCTTCCAAAGACACGTCACTGCGTATACATACTTGCCCAAGATATAAAATTTATTTTTTTCAATAGGAAAATAGGGATTAACCACTGTAGATCATGGTAAAATGTTGCGTATATTCTACCCTTAAATAGCAATAGTATTATTATTATTTATTTGACGCCATGAACTATTTATAGAGTTGAACCATTAAGGTTTAAATCAACAGTGTATGGTGTTGACTTTTATATCAGCATTAAAATTAAGATCGATGAAGATGTTATGGACAAGTTACTTTTGTATGAAGAAATTGTTGTAATAGTTGAAGTGGCGAAGATGATAAATATTGTTTGCATTATGCTTTAGATACGAATTGATAATAACGGATGCCGTTGATGAATTTGATCTTAACTCGCAACAATTCTAATGCTTTTTTAAAATCTAATCTAATATTGCTCAAATTTTATTAATTCACACGCGAGAACTAAAGTCATATTTTTTTATTTTAATGTGATACTATATAGCCACGTATTTAAAATCGTGATAACAAATAAAAATAATACAATAATAATATATAGAAATAATTTTTCATTTTAATTCAAACCAACGCAATCCAATCAACCTTCCTGAACACCGATAAACATCGCAAGCATATCGCTCATGCTAACAACACCTATAGGTTTTTTTGACTCTTTCTCAACTACCCAAACATGATGAACTCCATTATCAATTGAAACTCTCATGATTTCTTGTAAGTTTGTATCTTCATGACAAAAAATAATGTTTTTCGGGTGCGTACGAATCTTTCCAAGAAATGCTGTAATTGGTAACAAGCACTCAGCGATATTGTCGACGTTTAGGTAGCGAATATCCGAAGATGATAAATTATCGACTAATTCAACGATTCTTTCACCGGCCTCGTCATCACCACCATCTACAATTGCGACTGAACTTAAGTTATGAATTGCCTTCATAAAAATAAACATTGAAAGTTATGAGAAAAATAAATTATAATTACAACCACATGAGAATAATTATTAATATTACCAGAACTTTAAATCCTGCTAAAGCTGTCATGTCTTTAGTGATGGAAAATGCAAATGTGGACTTGACTGGAGATACTGGTAATCTTATGAATCAAAGAAAGCAAGAAATTAATTATAAACAAAACATAAAAAATAATTACAATCAAATAATAATAAGTAATTAATTATTGATAATTACCTACGAGAAGGTTGATTCGGATCATCTTTTTTGGTAAAGGTGATCCAAGATCGTTGCATAACTTTATTAGCTGGCCAATCCAAAGCACCATCCTTCTGAGCTTCTTTCAAAACCGGATTTTTAAGAAAGTAATCGATCGCATCCCATTGGGTAATAATGGCAGCATGTTGAACATCACTTGCCATAATTTCTTTATTGTTTGACGTCGAAGCTAAAATAGCATAAACATTTTCGTGTGTGCCCATCGCTTCTAATCCATCGATAAGTGGTTCGGATTTGTGATAAATTTTAAAATTATTTGCTAAATTCATTTCATCAATCAAGTCACTGATTGGTTTTTCGTAAACATTTGTAATTTTTTGTTTTACTTCCTTGCTCATATAATCATGAGCAGATTCCTTAGCATCCATTCTACTAAAAACCTCTTTCAACATTAAATATCTGTTGATGTTGACCACATTAACGATACTAACAAATTTATTTTGGTAATTATCAAATACTGGTATCGAGATTATATTATGAATTCGTAAAAGATTTAGAACAAAGGAGATTTTATTATCCGAATGTGCGTAAACTAATGGCTCAAGTGGTTTATTACTGATTTCTTGTAGAAATGAATCAATATGTAGTTTGCGAAGACTTTCTAAAAATTTAGACGAATTCAAAAGATGTGATGGATCCACCGGTTGTTGATGTTCAGTTGGCATTTTTTTTTTTTAAAGAAAAAAATTATTCCTTGAGAAAAAGAATATTTTTTTATTTTATAATATGTGAGAATATTAGCGTAGAACCCTCTAGATTTTTTTTCTTACGTATATTATATCATGACAAACCATAAAAATGCTAAAAAAGGCAAATGTAATGGTATACTACTCAGACTTTTAATTAAATATATTATCATTATTTAAGTTAGGTTCCCAGTAATAAACATAATTAAATGTAAGACATTTCAATCGAATGACATTATTAAACATATCAACTAAATGTTGATTGAACTCATTCATGTAAAATATTGATGATTGTTCTAAATTTTGACAATTTCGAGCAATTAATTGCAACAGTTCTTCTAAATGACGTTTGTCAATCGGAGCATCCTCGACATTTAGAACCTTTAGATTTCTTCCATTGATTTCAAGGAAATTCGACAAACTATATAAAAATGGCTGATTATAAATGATTAAATTTAGGGTTGTAAATATTTGAAAAGAAACAATGTTGCAAATTGCTTGTTGATGATGAAATTCTACTAACATCATTATTGAACATTGACAATGACTGTATTCACAATTGGGTTGGATTGGATTACCCTTAAATCTTGTTCACAAATTTATTGAGATTAGGATACATTTTTGTTGGATTATAACGAGGATTTGCAATTTGATTGATTAAATTTATTTATGGTTCTTTTAAAAAAAAAAAAAAAAAAATAATAAAATATGGACATTACTGGCCTTGTAAATAGCAACGCGGCAAATTCAAAACTTTTAAATATAAATGAAAGTAAAGCCACTTGCAGTTTTGGCTTTGTTATGTGCTTATTTATTTGTTCGTGTAGCATGAATTTGAAATTTTCGAACGTTGGTATTAAAAATCCAATTTAACGTACCCGTGACTTTCTCACAATAGGTTATTGAATTTGAATGAATTGCAACTGCCCTTTTGAATTCCACTGACAAAGTTAGACATTTGTTCACATGAATGGCTGGTTTCTTGATTTGATCTTGTTCTTTGAGTCAGATTACGATCAATTTCGTCCTCGATTGAAGAATTAATATCAACTTTAATTTTTAAAACTTGAATATTTCTACATGACCTTGCCAACCTATCGAAAAATTCAAACCCATTAAGAAAATAACAATCTAATTCACGAATATTTTGAATGAAACTATGAAATCCATCATAATCAAGCATCCAGCTATAATCTAAACAGGTAGTTCCAAGTACCTTGACATTTGAATAATTTTCACCAATATTTTATCAAATTTAAACTTGGTGATTTGACCAAGATCCAATTCAGTAGCAAATCTGACATAGTTTCAGAATGACGGATTCTCAAATGCCTTAAAGTTTATGCAGTAACGATTTTTTTTTAAAGAATTCTTTATCTTCCAACATTAAACAATTAATTAATTAAAATTTTTTACTTCTGCAAAGTAAAATGGTAGATTTCTCCATAAAATTGGAATAAAGTTCCATTGTTTGTTTTTTTAAAATGAGGGAAACCATGTAAACAAACTTATCTATATACAAAAATTACCAAATTTAATAGTTGCACGATTTCTTCGCGTAACATCAAGTTCAATAAAGTGACACATCATGAATTTGTTTGTCCTCTATCCAAATGTATATTTACAATAACAAATATCAATTTCATTTACTCAAATACCTCACTTATTCAGAAAATAATAATGGATAAACCGTCACATAATACTGTTGATTCTGTGGGGGAAGCATTTAAACCTTTTGCTTCTTTAATAACCACAGCAAATGCTGTGATAAATCAAATTGTTGATATTTTTGAAAATGCAGAGTATAACAAAAAGATTTGTAATGTGTTTTTAGTTCGTGTAGACGTTGCTACAATTCACATTAAAAATCTAGAACGTAGAAAAGAAGAAAATGAATATCTTTTTCGTGATGTAGAGTATTACAAGCACTTTGTACGTTTTACCACTATATTAACAGAAATAAAAACATTTCTTAATGATATTACCCATCTTCCTGGATATAATAAATACAATTCTGCAAAGAATTTTGAAGAGATGTTTGGAAACCTTACTCGAGAAATTGATACTATTATGAAAAATTTAAAATTTACAATGACCATTGCTCCTGAAGAGCAAACAAAAATTGATCAACAAAGTTTAAAAGAGGATCACGAAAAAATGGAAAAGGTTAAATTTTATCTATGTATATGTATATATTATAATTAACGTAATTTTGATTATAATTATATATTATATATATATTTTAGTTTTGGGGATCAATTAGTGGTGGAATTGTTGATGATAACAAACAAATGAACACATCTTTGCAAGAAGTAATTATTATCAAAACTCAAGTGGAATCCAAAGATAATCAAGGTGATATTAATAATTCTATAAAGGCAACTCAAATACCACCAGATATGTTACAAGATCCAGAGCATAAAAAACCATCCGATTCACGAAGAAAAAGACCACCTTATATTTGCAAAAAAATTTTAAAAGAAGACATAGAAGTTGCTTGTCAGCCTATAACAACACCTGATGAAACTCATCTACCAGTTGAATATCAAAATGTTCAATCACAGCTAGCTATTTTGGGGAAATTACATGATTCAAAGAATATATTGAGATTCTATGGTCTTTCTACAGTTGATGATTCAACAGTTATGGTTCTTGAATGGGCAGAAATGGGAAAGTTGGATGATGTTTACAATAACTATGTCATTAGTTGGCCTGAAAAAGTATCCATAGCTCTTGAAATTTGTCGTGGACTTATATTTTTACACTCATGTAAAATCCTTCATCATGATATACGTTGTGGAAATATTATGGTAACCAGTACAAACATATTATGTGTATATATATATATATATAAATGTAAACATAGAAATAGATTCATCTAAAATAATATTTATTTTATTTATTTGAAAATCAGATGACTAACAAAAAGGAACCAAAAATTGCAAATTTTGATTATGCTCGTGATGTTCAAGATGCAACTAGAGAATTGAAAAATTTAACAGTTGTTGTTCATTGGTTAGCACCAGAAAAGTTATTACATGCTTTTAAACAATCTTATAATTTTAAATGTGAAATATTTAGGTAAAAGATGATTTTATTATTATATAATATGCAGAATGCATACCATGGTATCCTCATATTTTTATTTTATTTTGACATAAATTAGCTTTGGAATGTTGCTTTGGGAGCTTGGGTTTGAAAGAATCCCTTATGACAAATGGGATATTCCAAAAATTCGAGAATATGTATTGAGTTCCAAAAGAGAATTGGTTACTTATGATGATGATGATGAAAAAATGTTAAAACTACAAGAAGAATATTCAAATATTTTTATAGGTGGTAAGTTATCAAAATTGTAAATTATATTTTTTGATCTTTGTATAGAAAATAATAAAATAATAATATTCAATGTTTTTTATTATTCTATATATTATTCTAACAAGCCTGGAGAGATGATCCTACAACAAGATCATCCCTTCAACATATTTTCTTAAAATTGGATAATTTGGCCTCAAAATATGGTAAAAGCAATGAAAATATTCCATTTCCCAAAAAAAGGAGAAATCCAGATGGTACTATAGCACGTAGTAAACATTCTGTTTCTGTTAGTGATGACAAGGGATTTTTAGAAGCTAACAAACCTGATTCAATTATGCCAATTATTTCACTTGAAGAAGGTCTTCGAGCACATAAAAATAAAGAATGGAAAAAGGCATGGATTTGTTTCCAAGCTCATGCTGAACTAGGAAGTACATTAGCTAAATATTGGAAAGGATGCTATTTATATACAGGATATTGTGGTTATGTGGATAAAGAAAAGGCCATTAGATTATTTCAAGAAACTGCTGATAAAGGAAATGGTGATGCTCAATTACGTTATGCATTTTATAATAAATTTGATAAAAATTTATTTATCAAGTACCTTAAATTATCTGCTGATAATGGAAATACAACAGCTAGGTATAATTTAGGTGATTTGTACTATAGTGGAAAGCTTGGATTTCCCAAAGATATAAATAAAGGAATTCAATTCTTGAGATTAGCTGCTTTAGACAAACACCCAAAAGCAACTAAATTATTGAGCAAATTGAAAATTGATGTTTATAAAAGTCGAGAAATTACAAATAAATTTCAGTCGTAAATATATATGTAAATAAATATACGTCATCTAATAAAAAAAAAGTTCTACCATAAAGTCCGTTTTTTTTAATCACTTAAAAGCAATTTCTCAAATTTCACAGTTGATTAGTGACTTTGCCACCATCTCACAATAATCCTTTATTGAAGATATCTGTTTTATTTGATAACTACGAATGAATAGATAGTTTAATCCAAATTGATCTTAAACAAGCAAGGAAGATGCATTGTTGCCGCGTATTAATTGGACAATCAACTTAATGCATATAAATATGCTAATCTGGAAATGAGCATTTTGTTTGAGTAGACAAGCTAAAAGATCAACTAGTTAACAGATTATCGGAGCACGTCCCCACAACCCTACCAACACAATTGATGAGTCATTATTATAAAGAATTAACCGTCAAAACTCATTACATCATTTTTTTTTTATTGAATTTTATATTCTCTTTTTAACGAGCCAATTTAATCTCCTCTTCCAATTCTAATGCTCAATTAACTCGTACATATTAAGATAATATGACGATCGATCCATTGATCGCTTGTTGTTTTTGCTGGATCTAATTTAAAATCAAGTCAATTATTTTGTTACAATGCATAATTACCAGTCCAGGTTATAAGAACACTTGAGCACCATTGACCGTAAGATGTAGAATCTTTACACCAGAAACCAGATCTGTGAAAACAATTCCATATGGAACTGCGATTATAGCTCTGGCCCTCGGAAAAGTATCCTTTTTACAATCAATTAATTTACACACCGTCCTCTTTTTTAGTGGTGTCAAAATAACCTTGGTTAATTTACAAATTTATCTGCAAGATCCAATCGCTGCAGAACGTTT